AGAGCAAGTCGAAGATCTACGAGAGCAATCGCACCATTAACAACAACGTGGAGCTGCTGCCAGCCACGACCAGCAGCACCCAGCACCAGACGCTGACCAGCGGCACCACCATCGACAAGGAGCTGCAGGACATCGCCCTGAGCGATGGCATCCTGCCCGCTCCGGGCACCAAGGTGACCACCACGGTAAGGACCTACACGTACGAGATTCCGGCCACAGGACCCGGTAGCAACACCAGCACCATTAACCGCACCCACAACCTGAGCAACTCGAATACGCTGAGCAGCAGCTACAAGTTGCACGAGAGCCACAACTCCAGCCAGAACTTCTCGCAGCTGTCGCCGATCCCGCATCCGCAGGCATCGCATGTGCCGCAGACCGTGGTCTACAACACGGAGAGCTACTCCACGCTGAACAGGCACAACGATCGGCCGGTGGTGAGCAACCAGTCCTACGAGATCCGGGAGCACAAGGAGACCACCACCCGCGGCGTGAGCCCCCAGCCCCGCCAGCTGCCATTGGGATCGGGACCGGGACCGGCAGGAACTCCGCCGGGCAACCGTACCATCATCTACAATATCCACAAGACGGATCACGTGAACACAGTCAATGAGCTGCCGCCGCAGCAGCGCTATCCGCCGCACAGTCCGGCCCACAGTCCCAACTACGGAGCACCCGCAGTTGGACCACACAGTCCACCGTTGCAGCCGGGTGTGAATCGCTATTACTACAAGGAGACGGAGACCTCGAACACGGTGAACAGCATCCATGGGCCGCCCAACGGCGGACCCTACGAGCCGGGTCTACCCCAGTCCGCTCCACTGAAGCAGCTGCCGCCCAACAACGCGTATCCTCCACAGCAGCCACCAAACGGAAACGGGTATCCCCCGAACACGAGCACGTACAGCTACAAGTACTCCTCGACCACCAACACGAACAATCGACGTGGTCCCGACTACGGCTCGCCATCTCCATTCCCCGTGGACGGTGTTGAGTATCCGGTGAACAGTAATCCCCCTCAGCGGGTGGATGATCTGATGCAGTCCTTCGGAACTGTAAGTATACGTTTAGAGAAACCTAAAACCTAATCAATTGCGCTTTGTAAAATTGATACAAATTTCAAAAATAACATATCTGAATTCTAATTAACTAAGACAGAAGTTACTATTCTGGAACCTCTTTTTGTGTGCTCAAAAATATTTAAATAAAATATAATAATTTATAAAAAGATATGAAAACTTTTGGTATGGAGCTTACCATTTAGTTTTTCCGCTTTTCAGCTACTAACATGTTTACAAAAGAATTACCAACAATATTTTAAACTGCTTATAAAGCGTGCCTCTAGATAGGAACTTATCACAGCCTATCTAAATTTAATTAAGAATTAGAGATGTAGGTCAATTACTGCCTTAACTTGTAAACAGTAAACTTGTAAAGGCAAGACTTAAATACTTTAATGACATCATAAATGCAGATTCGATGTTGTGTTAAGGCTTTCACTTACCGTATGCTCTCTGCTTTTCAGACCACTGACCATGTGGATCGTGTGGACATTGAGACTCCAGTGCGCAAGCGTGAAATCGAGACGGCGGTGGCCTCGCCCAACCAGCAACATGTGCCATCCGTGAACAAGGCGGGCAAGGAGGTGTACTATCCGCCCGGACACGACACCATCGTCATGAAGCGCGAGGAGATGCATGCTGGCTCTGCTTCTGGCGTGAGTACCCAATAACTTTGAGGTGGAACATGATCCCAAATCGGAATATATTTGCAGGGTCGCTGGGCCAAGGGTTCCGGAATGTACGAGTACGAATCCGGCTCCAAGTCAAAGACGAAAACCAAGTCTGGCGGCGCCGTGGTGCCCGTGTGCCTGCCCCTCTGCTGTGCCATGCCCTGCTCCATTATGTAGATGGGCGGACATCGCCGGCATATCGTTACTTGTACATAGGTTTCTAATATTTGCCCTTAATAGGTCTAACGCTAAATCCTGCCCCGCGTCTTTAATTGCTCTCTACTAGGTCGTCTAGCTTCTATTGGGTTTGCTTGTCAATTGGTTGCTCTAATCGTTGTACGCGTAATTTGTTTGCCAAATTTTATGTCTATCCATACATTATCGTCTTTGTATATAATTTGTGAAGCGGCATCCATGGATGGCCCCGATTGTTATATTTTTTCGGATTTTCGGATTTGATAGTTCGCCCCAACCTAGATTGCTCAAAATTGTTGCTCAAGCATTTAAATTTGCCAGTGGGATGCCCTAAAAAGTTTACTCGTTGCCAATTGTTTTAACTGTAATTTGCATACCGCATACCAAACACTAATAAATGAGCCGTGGAATCCAATTCCCCCTATTATTCGTTTCGCCAGCGCCCCCGAATACCCACTAATCATAAAGCATAATCGTAACTGCGACTTAAAAGGTAACCCAGTCGTTACAGAGCCATAAATACTATCTCTAATACACGTAGTAACCATAATAAAAACGAGATCTAACAAACGAAGCGATGAACTGTTTGAGTGCATTTTTGAATGGATTGATTGCTTTGCGTGGGGGTATGCTAAACATTCGAGTTTGGTATAGTAAAAGTTTTTTATAAGTTTATTTTGGTATAAATCGTTCTGATCGAATAACAATTTGCATATCACAAAAGTAATACCTACATTTCACCTTGTAGGAGTAGGCGTAGCTGTCTTTTGAGAAGTTAATAAAGTACAATAGTGGAATAACAAAAACGAAAACAAAAAACAACACAGAAACAATAAAAAAACTAAAAAAAGATTATAATATAGTATATACCTAAGTATCATTGAGCACTTTGAGTAGTGAACGTGAACGGGAGGATTATTGCTACAGAGACGAATTCTTATTGTTGTTCTTTTGAGTACGAATTGAAGCTAAATGATGGATTAAAAGTATACTACATCGTAATATGAGTTTAGTTACTGGACTTACTACCATATACACAATATGTGTCTAATATACTAATCATGTTGCCATGATCTGACATTCTATTAAAAGAGACTACCGTTCGTGAAAGTAATGTTGTCCTTTGTACATACGCATATTAGATAGTTGGAAAGGTCACGTATTGTAACGCTGTCTGTTTGGCAGGCTAACTCTTGCGCTCGGAGTTCTTTAGCTCAGCTAAATACCAAGTGAAGGTTGGAAACTGCTTGATGCTGTAGATGGCATACTTGATCGAGTTAATCCCGTCCTGTTCTATTTTACTCATGCCGTTTTGAAGGTTCTCATAGCTGTTTCGAAAAGGAAGGAAGGGAAAATTAGGATTTTGGTACTGAAATTATGGGATTATACTAACTCACCGCTTTGGATTGGCCTTCTCCTTCTGATGCTTCAGCATCTTATAGCGGGCTATGTTGACGGGATACCTTGATATGAATAGGTTGGCATGCTTCAACCGATTGGACATGTCGTCATCCTCGCCGCCCCAGCCGAAGAACGAGTTGGAGAACCCATTCACGGCCTGGAAGTGCTCACGCGTCATGGCGGACACTCCTCCAAATATTGATCGATAAGGCAACCTGACGAACGAAATAAGTTATTCAACGTCGATTATGTTAAGTTCTTATCTATGGCCTGTGCCTGTGAGTGCCAAAGTACCTACCTGAAATTCAGCGTGTCTATGGCCACCGACATATGCCGCGGCTGACGTGGACAGTTGTAGAGATTGCGGTCGTCCAAAGGCAGAAGATCGACGTCGTGGAATATGAAACAATCCCACTGGTACAGCTTTAAGGCCTCCAAATAACCAATGTTCATCATGGCAGCCCGATTGAAGGGCTTGCCGTTGGTCTGTTCCACAATAAAAATGCGATAGGCGATGCGTTGCTTCATCAGGAACGGGTGGATGTTGCGCAGGAAGACGGACAGATGGGCGTATCGGTCGCGGAAGGGCACCACAATGGCCACATGGTGCTGGGCCTGGCAATTGTCCGGCTCGAAGGCGCCACCAGGGCGCAGGAGGGGACCCAGTTCGGCTTCGATTATGTCTAGTGATTCAAGGGTGGTGTTGGGCGTGATGGGTCCACCTGGAAAGGATAAAGGGTTTGACATTTCACTCTGGCCACGGCCGAAGTCCGAGGAGAGCTGCTCACCATCGCGGGGATCGGGATCAGTGCAGTTGGCGAGGAGGGCGGATGCAGATTTCTGTCCCGGAGGCAACGGCTTGCGCGTGCCCAGCAGGAAGCGCGTTAAGTCTTGTGGAATGGAAGTAAAGTTTGCCGTGGCAATCACAGTCGTTGAGGTGGAGTTGGGTCCGCCGTGCAGCTCGCGGTCCCGCTCCCGCTCCCTATCCCTCTCCCTGTCCTTGGACAAAGCGAGCGGAGAAGCGGGCAGCCGTGCTCCTCCTTCACTGCTGGCGTTCCCGTAGATATGCGCATATTTGTGCACGCGCCGGATGCTATAAACGGGGATATTTAGTCTATACTTCACGGGATTTACAACTGCAACTCACCTGAGCTTGCTGAGCGACGTGCCGCTGGCTCCGTCGGTACGGAAGACCACAAAGTTAAGCACCAGCAACAAGATAATCGCGCCGGCCAGGAAGCGTATGAGATTCGCCTTTGTGAACAGGGACATGGTCCACGGATTGCATCATACCTTGCTACACGCTGTGGCGCTGCGAACGGGCATTTTCACGCGGAAAACATTCGCTCGCCGAACAAAAAGCGTTAAAACTCCAGAGCCCAAAACAGATAAGTCAGGTGAATCTCTCCCCCCGAGCAGGGTTGCCATGACATCGCAATTCCCACTGCCACAGACAACCGATAGTTTTTGGCGATAAATTTAAATAGTCCATCACTATCACCTGGATTTGTTTAAAATTTAGTATGTTTATTAAAAAGTAAATCATTAAAAAAACTTAAAAATTTACAAAAACGAATGTTGTTTGGCAATTAAAAATCAAATGAAATGTCTGCAAAACCGTATCAATAAAAATCAAATCAAATATTTGCAAAGCAGTATCAATCAAATACTATTTCATATTTTTGTGGTTTATTGCGCTCTTCGGATCGCGTAGGTATCCCAAATAATAGCGAGTTACAGAATGGTATTGTAATTTGGGGCAACATACGAACTGGCGATACTTGCCCCCAAGTCCTGGGAATGGGTCTTTTCTATCAAGAATAAAAACAAGTTACAAACACAACTGAAGATTTAAACTAATTGCAGTGTAGAGCAGCGAGGCCCCACTATCCTGGCAATGGCAGTCGCAGCGCCTCGTTGTCCTTGATGTTGATCACTTTGAACTGGTTCTGGTAGGTGTACTCTATGCGCAGAATCTTCTCCTCCCCGATGCTGGGATCATAAAAACCGGGCAGGTCGCTCTGTGTGATGAAATCAAATTAGATCTCTTTCAGAATGACAATCTATATCTATATGGGAAAAGACCCACCTTCGAGGAATCATGCAGATGCAGGGTTCCGTCCTTGACCATGCACTGAATGGGCACTGTGACGTCCAGGGACTGATCCGGCTTAAATTGGCTGCCGCCCTCCGTCGTGCAGCCGTACACGGCTCGCGTGACGATCAGACCCGTCCTCTCCAGCTCCTCGGTCATGATGCGGTGGTACGTGGCCTGCATTAGGTGGACGGCGGCACTGGCCTCCTGCCGCTTGGCTGACAGCCGCTGCTCGTTCTGCCGCTTCGTCCGCTCCACCTCAATGCTCTTGCGCTCCGCCTCCATGGGATCCATCACAGTCTTTTTGATGAGGAACCACGCAATCACCGGCGTCACCGAGGCGTAGAAAACCGCCGCGGGCACAATCTCGTCGCTCAGGTGGATGGGGAACACGTACGATTGGTTTGAACGTAGTATTCTGGGTGAAAGATTGGTGGTGAAATAGGTGTTTCAAAGCTTTTGTAGATTCACACACTTGAATTTGAGTATAACTCCGGAAGGCACGCCAATCGACACCATGGCCGTCACTGAGCTGTACTTGGAGACCTTCTTCTCCACTCCATACTCGCCCATAAAGCCGAAGGTTCCAACCCTTTGAAAGTAGAACTCATTAGTAAACTAGATGTACTGCTTGTTCGGAGTTCCTACTTGGCCGCCAGCTTCATCTTCAGCTCGTTCTCCATCATTTTGCGGGTGTAGGACAGCCCGAAGTACACATGCGGCGTGCCAATCACCAGGGACGAGCTCAGCGAGTACGTCTCCTTGGAGTGATCGATCTGCGTGGACATGGAGGACTGCGGACCGGCGTTCAGCGTCAGGCTGCCCATCGTGTGCTTGTCCAGCTGCACGGCCAGCGTGGAGAACAGGGCGGGTATGACCCCCTGGTCCCGGAAGTTAAGGTTAGTACCACCGTTCACGGTTACCTTTTGACTCAGTGTTCGGCCACCTTAAAAGGAAATTCTATGTATTCTTTGCAGGTCAGGGATTAAGATAAATGACATACCCTTGAGACCCAGAAGGAATCCGTTTCCCGCGCCGGCACACAGCTCCAGCCAACCCTTGTTGAGCAGCCGTCGTCCGGCGACTACGAAGCCACCGCTGCCATTGCCATTGGAGGAGTACAGGTTGCCGCTCATGATGATCATGTCCTTGCGCGTGATGGGAGCCTCGATGGACTGGGCAATGCTCATGGAGCCGATTTCGACGCGCGGCATCTCGGAGTCGTCGTACGGCGCAAAGATCTCCGTGGCGTTGACGTTGATGGTGATGTTGCCCCGCGGATTTGTGCGCTGCTGAAGGCGTCGCTCGGCGGCCGCCTGGGCCAGTCGGTCGTACTCCTCCCGGATCTCGGCCGGAGTCTTCGTCCGGTGGAGAATCTCCCAGCCCTCGGTGCGCAGGCCCTTCTCGCCCACGGAGTCGTAGATGGCCCGCTGCTGGGGATCCGAGAGCACCTCGTAGGCGCGCTTGGTGCGGTTAAACATGATCTCGGCCTTCTTCTTGCTCTCCGGCTCCAGGTGCTTGTCCGGGTGGAAGATGCGGCTCTGTTTCCGGTACGCCGTGTTGATCTGCTCCGGGGTGGCCTGCGAATGGCAGATGAGAAGGGATCAGCTCGAGGGTTATCTATTAGCTACTGGCCGGTGGCGCTGCACTTACATCCCGGGGCAAATTAAGAAATGTGTAGTAGTTCTCGTCCAGTTCCGCGTCGGACTCCTCGTGATCCGATGCCATGTCGCTGATCTGAACCCGCTGCTCGGTTGCTGCTCGGATTTAAAGAGGGGCGGGGACGGGGCAGCGCACGGGCCTCACCGGCGTTCTATGTTAATTTGGGATTTCGAAATTTTTGGGTACTTTTACGCAATGACTATACATGTGTTAAAAGTGCCGATAGTGCCGATGGTTTGCTCCAAAAGGGGTTTTGTTGTGACATGCGGTCATACTGCGCCAGTATGGTCTCACTTACGAACGGCGAACTAGTGATGTGAGATGGAGGTGCCTTCATTAACTATCGTCAGCTAGAAGTGACAAAAAACTTAAGAACATATTGGTAAATTTGTTATTAATTATTGGTGGGATTTTAAAAATATCCTTTTTTATTATTAAAATTATATCAGGCCTTTAAATAATTGAACGTATTTTATGTTTATTACCCTAGCGCGACAAGTTTTGATTCGCTTTTTACTCTCCTAAAAAATCCTTTCGTTTCGTCACGTTAAATCCAGTTAGCTTTCTGTAACTATGTTAACACACCACATTGTGCTGGAATCCAAGTTAAACATTTAAATATTTTTTACACCACAGAAACTCGCAATCGAAGTTGAAGAAAACAACACCACCACGCGCGCTGGCAACTCTGGCAACTCTGGCTCACGAACCACGGCGAACTATCGCATAGTCCGCTAGAGACGAGACCGTCACTTACCTAAAGCCCTCTAACGGGAAGAAACGTGCTCCGCCGTTCTGACGAAATTTTTGCTTTTAATTTGACAATTGTCGTGTGAAATTGCAGAAGTAAAAAGCCAAAATGCTGCGCGTACCCAAGTTTCTGCCCCGTATCGCCCGCCAGGCCGGCGTGGTGCCTTCCAACATTTCGGTGGCTTCTAGCATGTTCCGCGTAAGTATCTTCCCCCTCCCGACCCCCCGCCCCGACTATTATATAAAAAGTGCGGCATGCGGCGTGCGGTTCATGTTTTACGGGAAGATTCTATAGCGGAGCACCCCCTCTTTCTTTGCAGAATCTGCCAGGTGCTAGCAATGGATTGTCGGTGCAGCAGCGTTACAAGTAAGTGCAGTTTACACATTTATCCGTAGATTTCTCCAAATTTCGGACACCGCTTATGTAAGCACTCGGCAAACATAGGAATTTCCAGAAGCAACCTTAAGTTGCATCATAACAGGGGAGATTTAAAGAAATTTTAAATGATTATTTGGAAATATCTATGTATAGTTGGCAACGTGGTGCTTATCTGCACTTGTTGTCGGCGGCCTTATCAGCCCACTTTGCATATGCCCGTGTAAACCAAATTTTCCACCCCCTTTTCGTAGGTCTGGCGAGGTCAAAGGTGCTGTTATTGGCATCGATCTGGGCACCACCAATTCCTGCCTGGCCGTCATGGAGGGCAAGCAGGCCAAGGTAATCGAGAACGCCGAGGGAGCCCGTACCACACCCTCTCACGTCGCCTTCACCAAGGATGGCGAGCGTCTGGTGGGCATGCCCGCCAAGCGCCAGGCGGTGACCAACTCGGCCAACACCTTTTACGCCACCAAGCGCCTGATCGGCAGACGTTTCGATGATCCCGAGGTGAAGAAGGACATCACCAACCTGTCGTACAAGGTCGTCAAGGCCTCCAATGGCGATGCCTGGGTCTCCTCCACCGACGGCAAGGTGTACTCCCCCTCCCAGATCGGCGCTTTCATCCTCATCAAGATGAAGGAGACAGCCGAAGCGTACCTGAACACTCCCGTGAAGAACGCCGTGGTCACCGTGCCCGCCTACTTCAACGACTCCCAGCGTCAGGCCACCAAGGATGCCGGTCAGATCGCCGGACTCAATGTGCTGCGCGTGATCAACGAGCCCACTGCTGCCGCTCTGGCCTACGGAATGGACAAGACGGAGGATAAAATGTGAGTTTTTGATGTTTAGATAGGAAAAACAATTATGGGTTCTTAATGCACAAGCATTGTTGCTTATATTATTGCACTTTTATTGGACATCGTTAAAGAAATGCTTTATCACATGGCCTTAGTTTTTAGGAATTTTGGCTTTGAAAAATGTGTAGTTCATCTTGATTTCTTGAATTGATTTATCGGCTTTTATTAAAAACAGTTATTTTATTTGTTTTTAATTTGTTATGGTAATCTTGGAAAAAAAAAACTCACTTGTTTTATTTTGTACTTTAGCAATGGTTTTTTATTTCTAAGTAAATAACAAAGCAAGAAATACCATTTTATAATTAATTTAAACAAATAAGAACATTTAAATTTAGTTGGTTAATAACAATCTTCAACATATTCAACTGAAATAATCCATTATTATCCTTGTAGCATTGCCGTTTACGATTTGGGTGGCGGCACCTTCGATATTTCGATTCTGGAGATCCAAAAGGGCGTGTTCGAGGTCAAGTCTACCAACGGTGATACCCTGCTGGGCGGTGAGGACTTCGACAACCACATCGTCAACTTCCTGGTGGCCGAGTTCAAGAAGGACAGTGGAATTGACATCCGCAAGGACAACATTGCCATGCAGCGCCTGAAGGAGGCCGCCGAGAAGGCCAAGTGCGAGCTGTCCTCCTCCCAGCAGACTGACATCAATCTGCCCTATCTGACCATGGATGCCGCTGGTCCCCAGCACATGAACCTGAAGATGACCCGCTCCAAGCTGGAGAGCCTGGTGGGCGATCTGATCAAGCGCACCATCCAGCCCTGCCAGAAGGCTCTGTCCGATGCCGAGGTCTCGAAGTCTGAGATCGGAGAGGTGCTCTTGGTGGGCGGTATGACCCGTATGCCCAAGGTGCAGTCCACTGTGCAGGAGCTCTTCGGACGCCAGCCCTCGCGCTCTGTGAATCCCGATGAGGCTGTGGCCGTTGGTGCCGCCGTCCAGGGTGGTGTGTTGGCCGGTGATGTCACTGATGTGCTCCTGCTCGACGTTACCCCCCTGTCGCTGGGTATCGAGACCCTGGGCGGAGTGTTCACCCGTCTGATTTCCCGCAACACGACGATTCCCACCAAGAAGTCGCAGGTCTTCTCGACGGCCAGCGATGGCCAGACCCAGGTGGAGATCAAGGTGCACCAAGGCGAGCGTGAGATGGCCAACGACAACAAGCTGCTCGGCGCCTTCACACTAGTGGGAATTCCACCGGCACCTCGCGGCGTGCCCCAGATCGAGGTGGTGTTTGACATCGATGCCAACGGCATTGTGCACGTGTCGGCCAAGGACAAGGGCACCGGCAAGGAGCAGCAGATCGTCATCCAGTCCAGCGGAGGTCTGAGCAAGGACGAAATCGAGAACATGATCAAAAAGGCCGAGGAATACGCCACAGCCGACAAGCAAAAGCGTGAGCTGATCGAGATCGTCAACCAGGGCGAGAGCATAGTCCACGACACCGAGACCAAGATGGAGGAGTTCAAGAGCCAGCTGCCCGCCGAGGAGGTAATCAATAAAGCAAAACTGCCATATCCCTTAAAAATACTAATCCTATTCAATTGCAGTGCGAGAAGCTGAAGAAGGAGATTGCTGATCTGCGCACGTTGCTGGCCAACAAGGAGACCGCTGACCTTGAGGAAGTCAGGAAGGCCACCTCTTCGCTGCAGCAGTCGTCCCTCAAGCTCTTCGAGCTGGCCTACAAGAAGGTAAGCTGTTAGCCCTCTAAGCTTTGATAGTTTTATATTGTATACTGACGTATTTGGCCAATTTCAGATGTCTGCGGAGCGCGAGAGCGGCGCTGGAGCTGGAGCTGGATCTTCCGACAGCAGCAGTTCAAGCGACACTTCTGGCGACGCCAAGAAGGAAGAGAAGAACTAAATTAGGCAACCATAGTCATAGTTGTTGTTCCCCTATTTAATAATAACCGCTTCTGGATTTCGATTAAGTTCTACGTTAAACACAAACACGTCATATTCCTTTCCGAATCATGAATCACACAAAAGCCACAAGCATTTACCCAAAAAATGTGTAGTAAATTCTATCAGATGCGATCAGGTCGAATCAGACGATGTGACTTCCAAGCGTTAAGACATAGACCAAGCCGCCAGGGAACCGAAACGAGCGACTGCATAAAGTTTTTATTGTTTATTATGCAATCAGGCGGATTCATTCCTTATCTGGATCGCGTGGTCAGTGTTGTGTTGTGTTCCTGTAAGATTTTGATTATTTTTACGTATATTCTAAACTAGTTGTAGTTGTACAATAACGAGCACAGCACAAAAACTCAATTCGCAAGGCGGCCACGGCGTTCTAGACGCGGACAACTAAACAGATGATCACTTGGAGGTCCTACTTTAAGCTAAATTGTGTGTTGGTTTCCAGTGGACAACCAATTCGACTGGGTAATATGCAATTAAATTTAAACAAATCGATGTAAACTTAAAATAAAACAAAAACAAACATTTACATACAAAAATATCTTTGTTCTTCTTCAAATATTAAATTAAAGATTTGACTATCATTTTTTAAATTCCTCGAGGTATTACACAATAATCGGTTATAAATAATCTTAGCTTAACTAAACTAAGGAGTTCTTTGTACAAATACTAACAAATTGCGTTGTTCGCAGTTCACTAAGCTAAATGGTTGACTAGATCTATGACTATGCATCTACATGGCTCCGCTCTGGAGTTTGTAGAGCGTGTAGTAGAGCCCCCGATTGGCGAGCAGTTGCTTGTGGTCGCCTGTTTCGCAGACTACTCCGTTCTCGAACACAAAGATCACATCCGAGTGGACAACGGTGGACAGTCGATGGGCTATACTGATCGTGGTACGGCCCTCGGAGGCGGCATCGAGTGCATCTTGGACAACCTGGCAGGTATTTGAATGATCAAGTGGGTTCTTGGATACTTGGATATGGTTTTTAACACCCACCTTTTCACTTTCAGCGTCCAAGGCAGAGGTGGCCTCATCCAGCAACATGATCTTAGGATTCCGAATAAGGGCTCTGGCGATAGCAATGCGCTGCTTCTGACCTCCAGACAACTGGGCACCCTTTTCACCCATTCGCGTGTCATAACCCTAAGATACATAGATGGAAGAAAACAAACAATAATAAACAAGCATATGAGAACTCAAAATATGTTATTTTACCAAGGGTAAGTTAGCGATGAATTCGTGGATATTGGACTTCTTGCAGGCGGAGATGATTTCCTGATCGGTCACAGACCTCGAGTTGTCACCGTACGCGATATTTTCCCTGATGGTGCGATCGAAGAGGATCGGCTCCTGGGAGACGATACCCAACTGGTTGCGAAGATTACTCATGGACACGTCGCGCACATCGCGCTCATCTATGAGCGCAGCTCCGTTGTCCACGTCGTAGAATCGCTGGATGAGCTGGATGCACGTGGACTTTCCACAGCCCGACGGACCCACCAGGGCCACCTTCTGACCCTTGCCCACGCCCAGATTCAGACCCTTGAGCACCTGAATCTCACGGCGCGTGGGATAGCTGAACTCCACCTTGTCGTAGCGGACGCTTCCGTCGCAGTGCCACGGATCGCGGGACACTCCCGGACGGTCCACTATCAGCGGCTGGCGGCGGAGGAACGTGAAGATGGTCTTGGCTGCCGATATACCCTTCTGCATGTTGGGCGCAAAGGCCAAAGCATTGGCGATGGATGCTGTGCCCATGATCAGGGCTTGGGACACCCTACGAGAGCGGTAGAAATAAGCCATCTTCTTGGCTGACATCACTAGTACCTCTACTCACTTGAACACATCTCCGAACTTCATGCCCCGGTAGACCACACACCAGGTTCCATAGTACATACAGGCGGCATAGGCAAAGAACATCAGGGAACGAGCGAGACCGTAGACAAATCCTCTGAAATGGGTGTTCCTCTTGGAAATCTATAAGGTTAAAGCATTCATTAACCAAATGAAGATCTTGTGATGTAATGTTAATTTACCACAACGGCTGGAGTCAGCATGCCAATGTAGTTCTGGTGGAACATCTCCTCACGACCCAGCGACACCACAGTACGGATGTTGGAAACCACTTCGACGGCCAGCTTGGTGCAGTTCTCCATGGTCTTGGCCGAACCCATGTTCTCCTCAGCCATCAGGGTGCGCTGCATATAGAAGGCAATGAGGATGAAGGGCGTGAAGGCCAAGGCCACCAGTCCCAGACTCCACTCGTAGTACATGGACAGACCGACACCCAGGGCAAGAGTGGAAACAGATTGGATGATGGTTCCGATTCGCTGACCAGTGGCCTACGGGAGTAATCCAATTTGTTAAAGTAGTTTGCTAAACGGAGATCTTCCATCAACTTACACCCTGAACCGCAGCTGCATCTCCGGAAAGTCGGGCACAAAGACTTCCCGTGCCGTTGGCCTTGTCATCGAACCAGGCCACCTCCTGGCGCAGCATGGACTCGAACATGAGTCCTCGGAGACGTTCCGTCAGACGCTCACCGGCGATCCCAAAGAAGTAGATCTGGAAGAAGGTGGCGATGCCCACTACGACTCCGGCAATCATGAAGTACATACTGTACTGGTTGGAGTTTTCGCGCACGTATTGGTCATCATCCTTCACCTGCAGGACCTGGAGGATGCTGCCGAAGAGCACGGCGAAGATGGGCATGGCACAGCCCATTATCACGGATGAGATGCAGCCCACTGTGATTTGCAGATATTCCGGTTTGCTCATCTTCATCACCTCGGTCATGGGTTTCACTTCATTCGGGTCCTTGACCTTCTTCTTTTTCTTCTTCTTATCCTTCTTGGAGGACTCCACTACCTCCTCCTCATCATCTTCCTCGTGCAGGACTTTGATTTCCTCTTCATCCTCGTCCTTGATGTCAAAGTTCTTGTAGATGTCGCCACTAGGACTCAACACGGAGCCATCATCGTCCCCCAACTGGGTGGTCACCAGGTTGTAGTAGTGATCCTTCAGTTGCATCAACTCCTGGTGGGTGCCACTCTCCACCACTTCTCCCTTGTTGATCACCACAATCCTGTCTGCCCGCCGCACGGTGGACAGCCGGTGGGCCACTATAATGGTGGTCCGTCCAGCGCTCACCTTCTCCAGGGCAGCCTGCACCTTGGCCTCACTGGCGGTGTCCAGGGCGGAGGTGGCCTCGTCCAGCAGCAGGATCTCGGGGTCGCGGATTAGGGCACGCGCTATGGCTATCCTCTGCTTCTGTCCTCCGGACAACTGGGCTCCTCGTTCCCCCACCAGGGTGTCATATCCTCTGGGCAGTTTCTTGATGAAAATCGCCGCATTGGCCGCCGCAGCGGCTGCCTCAATCTCCTCCCTGGTGGCATCTTCGCGGCCATATCGAATGTTTTCATAGATTGAAGTGCCGAACAGGACGGGCTCCTGACCCACAACGCCAATCCTGGAGCGCAGCCAGTTGATATCGATGTCCCGGAGCCGGGAGCCATTGAAGTAGAGATCCCCGGCCTGCGGGTCGTAGAATCTCTGGGCCAGCTGAATGCAGGTGGACTTGCCGCAGCCGGAGGGACCCACTAGGGCCACCGTTTGGCCACGATGGATCTTCAGGTTCAGTCTGTTGAGAATGGGGATCTCTGGTCGCGTGGGATACTGGAATTCCACGTCCCTAAACTCAATGGTAGTAATGGGCTCGTTCAGTTTCTTGCCCCCCGCATCAATGGGATTAATCTCTGGGATCTGTTCGATGATGTGAAAGACCTTGGCGCAGGCGCCCTTGGCGATTCCAAAGGCCTCAATGTAGGGAGCAGCCATGCCAATGTTCATGGAGCCCATCATCACCGAGAAGAACACGGTGATCATGGTGCCGGGATCGTAGTTCTCGTATGCCACATCGTTGTAGCCCTTGATCACCAAACCCACGCCGTACCAGAAGGCCAGAGCGTAGGAGGCGTAGATGAAGAACCAAAGCAGACCGAATCCGATGCCGGAGAACATGTTCCGCTTGATGTTCAGCAGCTTGGCGGACACCACGCGCTCCTTATAGGCAGCCACTTCCTTGGCCTCGCCCTCGAAAGCTTTCACAGTGCGAATGCCGGAGAGAGCGCCCTCGGCCACCACGGCTGCACCGGCGTACACGGTCACCTCCTTTTTGGCCAGGCGCGAGGTGGCCACCGCCACCAGACCCATGGCGAGGAAGGTCAGCGGCAGACTGGTCAAACACACCAGCGACAGCTGCCAGCCCTTCACAAAGGCCAGGACCAAGGATCCCGCGAAGGCCACAAGGTAGTGAACGAACATCACCACCTTCTCAGCAAGTCCATCCTCCATCTTGGAGAGATCTCTGAAATGGATAATCACAACAAAATCAGTTAAGTTAGGTAAATAATAGTCATTATATTAAAAACAAATATGATTTTCAAGTATTTCGACTTAATGTATTTCTACTTTTATGGGTCTATAGATCGACCAAAACTTTTTTAGTTCCCAAAATTAGTTTCATAACATTATCTTAATTTTAAGCAATTCTAAAACAATATTAGTGACGTTCACATATTGATAATTTATAATTGATTGATATTGGTAATATAATAATCATTACATTAAAAACAAATATGATTATCAATTTTTTGTACTTTAAAGCTGGGTCTATAGATCGACCAAAACTTTCTAACATTAATTGCATAAAATAATCTACGCTTATGAAATTCTAAAACAATGTTAGTGACGTTCACATATTGATAAGTCACATTTCTGATATGAAGCTAGCCAAAATTGATAGCCAATTACGGTTATTTTCGTTGGGAATTTGGCAAAGAGTTTGAGTCACTTACTCATTCATTCGGCTGGCCACTTCACCACTCTGATTGAAGTCATACCACTTCATGTCCTGATGGAGGATAGAGCGGAAGAACTTGGAGCGGATGGTCAGGATCTGGGAGTGGGCGGCATAGTTGAAGCAGGTGATCGAGAGGTAAGAGCAGACCAGCATAACGATGCCGATGTAGGTGTTTTGCAGCGAGAACTGACTCACTTTGTCCAGGAGCATAGTGCCATAGTCATCGCCAGCGCGGTAAGTTTTGCCCCCAGCCGCCAGACCGCCCAAATCGATCATGTCCTGGGGGAATAAGAGATTTTTAGGATTAGAATCATATATTTTTCTTGGAAGAGATTTAAATTAAACTCACATTGGCCAAGTTGCCGAAGATCAAACTGTTGGCGGGAGTGGTCAAGCCAGTGGCCACGGCAGACAGTAGTCCGATCACGTAGAGTGCGCGATCCTTTTTGGTGGCATACCGGAAGAGCTGGAAGTAGCTAACCTGCTTGACGTCCTCCTGGTACTGGGAGCCATCCTCCTCGTCGTTGGCATCCGCATCGTCATGCTTGGACTTCTTTTTCGACTTGTTGGGCTCACTGCAATGAAAAATAAATAAAGGGTGAGCATGCCAATCAAAGATGGTTATCGGTAGGTCTCGCTTCTATTGCATTGAACCGACAATCGCGAAATCCTTATCTGCCTATGACACTCGTCGAGGGAAGTGGTTCCAAACAGCCAATAACATTGTGACCACGCTAACGTTTTGCCCAACGTAGTTACTATCTGAAGTGTGATGTAGGAACAGCATATAGCAGAGGGTCGATTATAGAGCCCTCCCCCTGTGGGTGGCTCTCTTTTGCTTGGCCGACGTTTATTGCATTAGCAATCAATGAATGATAAAGTAATAGCTGCCTTTTCAACTTAACGACTGCATAATACACTGGATTCTTAATTACTACTTCATAATAAAGGTTTTTTTAAAGTAAATACATATTTTTAAACAGATCTTTAAATAGTAAAAACTTTTCTTAAACTTCAGTTTGGTTCACTATTTATATCATAACATAAAAAAAGATTATTAAGCAAGGACTTTGAGGAAGGCTTTTAAATGAGCAGAGCTTAGGGATCGCTTAAGGAACGAAGTATATATTAAGTACACCTCTTTTAAATTATTCAAGTCCTTCACGAAGTCAGCGTAGCACTTTAGAAAGGGGTATACCCGAAGCAAAGTACGCACAGTATTTAACCATTGTATATTAATAATTAGCAATGTCATCGTTGAAGAGCAATTTTGTTAAGGGTGAAAAACTTCAATGGAATGCATAATAAAGGTTGTGTTGAGCACTTGATGAAGACATGGAAATTAATTAATATTAATAATAATCTTTTAATTTTATTTGTTTAGTTGTTGTCAATTAATAGTTTTTACGATTTTTTCTTAAGCTTTCGGGCACTGTTATTTCATAGATAACACATTTCTTTCACTTTTGAGTCACCAATGTCCTGTTTTTTATTTGTATATCCTTAAAGGACTTTCGGTAATAAAACACTTTTCAAAAACTCACAAGCTCTTCCGATCTCTTTGTGAATCCTCTATTTTGCTGCCCAGGACGATATTTGTTTTATACTGCGATCGCGAATTGCCATCGTCCTTGACGATGGCGCCGTTCTTAACGGTCATCTTATATATGTCCTTCGAAGGTTATGACTAAATATCACTTGCTATCAATCCGTATCAGCAGTAGGAATCACGTGGGCCAGAAAGACCTGAAGGCGGTGCAGACTAAAACAGACTATTAGAATATGGCAGCAGGTATGGGTTTATATTTGAATGGCCGCCCGACCAGAGTGGAGCCTTATCAACTGATAATACATGTTTATCAATATATTGAACAGGTATGGTAAAAAATTCTTAAGACTAACGGTGAGTTTGGTCGGCTTGTGAAATAAGTGGTTAAACGTTTGCACGCAGTGGCGTATCCAAGATTTGGAGTGGTGGGGTTTCCAAACAACATATGTTTAAACTTTTGTAACACAACATATTCGATCAGTTTTTAACCTAGTAAGAAGATGGGGTGTTAGCCCAAAAACCCCCCTTCCTACGTCACTGCTTGCACGTGAAGCGAAATCTGCAGAAACCGATTATAACGTGAATGTGATTACCGATGAGTTCTAACCGATGGGACTTCAAAAGGAATCAGTTAAAGTAGTTCAATTTTATAACGCTAGGTCAGTGACTCTTAAACTGCAAATATTCATTGTTATTAAGAAAAATAAAACGCAATCTAAAGCACAGTCATTTTATCACACAATATACTGTGGTCACCGGATTTCATTAAGTGTTCGGTATTATCAGACTGTGAACCAACGATTGCAAATTGTTTAGGGCTATAAGTGAACATAATGTGTTCCCAAAGATAAGTGAATAAAGTTTCCCATGATTCTTTAGATAAAGTAAAGTCATCATTATCAAGCAGCGCGTGGATAATGCGTAATTACTCATTTATAACAAAAATTGGAACTTTTTTGATTAGTTATTGCTGTTGTATTTGTATTGAATGAAGGTTTATTGATTGAGTTATAATTCTGTATAGACCACAACCTACTGTGAAAAGAGTGGTATTGAGCTTTAGCCAAATTATACTGTCACGGTTCACAAACTCTTAGCCTTATCGCATCGACTGTCAGCAGGGCTTACTCACACACAACCCGAAATACACATATATTTATAATCTAATTGGCCAGCAACTAATGACGTTGGACCTGTGAATGATGACATGACTGGCCAATTTCATGCCAATTGAGCACCCATAGACTTTAAATAGAGGGATTCAGTGATGGCAATTTATTGGTAATTTTGATACAGGCTTTTGGAGAGAAACTCTTCTGAACTGACTGCCTAGGAGATCCTGGTGACCATTCGCAGGGCGTCGCGATTGATCTTGGCCTGCTTGAGAATGTGGCCCTCGACGAAAATGTCCGACTCGTATTGCAGATAGTTGACGCACTTTTCTACGTAGTACAGGGATTCCTCCAAGCGATCCTTGGGTGACATGCTGGTTTCCAGGGACACACGACGGGTCTGTTCGGCGATGGCCGAGTGCAGCTCGAAGCAAAGCGTGCCGAGCGTGCGAACTTCGCCTGTCGAGTGAAAAGAAAAACAGAATTCAAGCAACCACTTAAGATAACGCTGCGTATACGTAATAATCTACCACACAACTTACACGGCGCCAGTTTCTCATACAACTCAACGAGTTCCCGGGCAAAATTAAGTTTTAGCAACAGTTTATCCTCGGCGATAACCATCAGCTCCTTTTGATCCTTAGCCAGGAGTTGCACTAGTAGGATTTTTATCTCACTCATGTGGAAATGCTGAGGAGGCAGCCACTTTTCATAGTGCTTGAGATATCTTTGAATTAAAGAAAGTACATGAACTTGGAAATTATTTTGGTACCCTGATTTATCTTAGCTCTAATATTTAAATAATTTCATAATTTAAAGTCAATATACAAGTCTGTGTAAAATAGAAGGATCTATGGTAGTGCTTTCGAAGCTAGTTATTCATTGGTTTAATAATGGCAGAGACTCAAAAGTTTAAAGTACATAATTAAGTCTATGATAGTCACAAGTCATTCAAGTGACCTTAGGAATAATTATATTTGGGAAATGTTTTTTAAGAACCCATTACTTAACGCTTAAAAATCTAAACAAGACTTACTTTAAACCATTTTCGACGTTCTTCTCCATGCTCTGGATATCCTTGCCAGCCCGCTCCAAAATGCGCTCCACATAGTGTTTCTGGACCTGCTTGTGACAATCGCGGCAGCTGGAAGAGACAAAGGAATCCCTGAAGTTGGAAACACTTTGGAGAAGGGACCAGTGAACTCACCGCCAACTGCCGTTCCAGTCGTCCGCCTTGCTGGGAAGCATCAGTCCGCCGCACTGGCGATCCTCGCACTTGATGGCACTGTAGTCGGTGTCCAGTTCGCTGGGATCCACACACCTCTCGCAGGTGCACTTGAACAGCTTCGTCTGCATCAGATGTCGCTGGCGGTCGGCGGTTCCCCACACGGCATCCGAGTAACAAATGCTCAGGTGACTGTTCTTCTTGATCTCGCGCGGCGCCCACAGGATGCAGTGGCCATTCTTGTTGAAGCTCTTGGCCAGATTGGGCAGGCAGGAGTGCTCCGTGAAGGAGGCCGTATAAAAGACGGCCACATGCGGAGGATCAGTAGTTGGCACCTCGTGTCCATTAATCTGCAATGCACCCACTGCTCGCATGATCTCCTCCTCGCTGAACTTCTGGGTTTTGAAGAACCTGGAAACGATTTAACACATACAAAAGGGGAATCAGTGTTATATCTTATCACAAAAATAAGTTTATTATTAAATTAATAAAACAAATTAATATCATAATTGCTTTAAATGGGTAATGTGTACACATATGTATGCCATAAGTATGTATGGCATGAAAAAATAACACCAAAGTAAAGGTAAATTTATACCTGTGTATTAAAGGCAGATAAGATAAGACATGTAAACATGTAAACATGTATTTTCGTTAGACACACTTTATAAGCGTGAATAAGTCCATAAATACCCCTTCAATACAAGATTTATTATTATTGTATCAAATTCTAAAGATCCTCATAGTTCACTATATAAATATTGGATTATTTATATGTTTATCTAATATATAACTTACTTGGGAATAAACTGGCCGATGCTGGCCAGATCTGCCTTCCACTGGCTGGAGCCCCTCCTCGTGGACTCCAGTGACTCCAGTTCCTGGAACTTGCTCGCCCTCTCCGGACTGGTTTCGCCAATGAGCAGACATCTCACAGTGCTCACACAGTTGTAGAGCGGATGGGGTCCATTGAACTCGTGGACGTTGGCCTTCTGACCCCGATCCTTGGTGAGGCGACACTCTGCCTGGTGCTCGTCCAGGGACTTGCACTCCGGCCCGCACAGAGGCCATCCGCACTGCTCGCATTCGATATGATCCTCCGCCTCGATGCCGTTGAGGCAGCCGAGGCAAACGGGAGCGGAGATCTGGGATGGACCTCGCACCAGAGGCGCCTCCCTAAGGATTATCTCGTGCGGTTTGATGGTGCGGGTGGCCACCAGATGCCGGCCCAGCTGCTCATTGTGGGCGATCTGCAAGGGGGTTGAGGTTATGTCGGGCCATCGGCATCGCTGCGATTGGATAAATGGTGTATATACGCCACCTTGAAGGGATGGCAGCTGGGCTTGTGCGCCTTCCAGTCCTGCTTCTGGTGCTGCACACTGCAGTAGTACACCTGGTTGCAGTTGGAGCACTTGTTCTTTGTGGGCTCCTCGCACACATGGCAGGGATTCATCGTGGCAAAAGCGAGTGTACTGTTCAAAAGAGATGTACTGTCCCAAAGAGAATCCAATGCGCACTCCCACACAGTCGCCTAGATGTGCATCCACCTCCGCACCACTCACCGAATCTCTATAAACTGGGCCAGTCGAAGAGCCACACACACATCTGCTGCCGTGCTCTGCGCTCGGTCCTCTATAAATAGCCCGCATACGGCGCTCTTGAGTGGACCAATGCTGTGCTGTGGCGGGCCACCCTAACCGTACGATGAATATGAAAATCACTGATTAATCAATCAATATTTTTTTTTTTTTTTTTTTTTTTTATCTGGGCCACGCTGAAAGCCGTGATTCACAGAACCAGCAGTTTGGCCAAGATTACTAAGATTTATTCACTAATGTTACACCGACTAAAGCACTCCCATACTATATACAAAATCACACCTGGCCAGGAGCTGGAACCACATAACCGGGTAGGGCGCCGAATGTTGGATTTCCGTACGGTTAATTTTTAAATACAATTTTTACATAATTTATATAGCCTCCACCCCAAAAAAGCTTTGAGGTATATAACTACTAGCGCTTCCGCCGGCGCCTAAACTTGGACTTTGGCCTGCGTTTCGGCGTTAACGTGGGCGTTTTGCGACTCTGGCCAAGGGCACTGGATCCTTGTCCTTCTCTACCTTCTCCATCTCCATCTCCTCGATCTGAGGCCGTCGATCAAATATCAGTCTCGTCGCTCGGGCCATTGGCCTCGCGCAGGGTCACGAATTTCTGCAGCGTGACGTTCTCCTTGTTGGTAGCAGTGCTACCACTCCTGGATCCGTTCCGCAGTTTGCCCTTGTCGCGCGACTTCTCGTGCACACCGTTCACCTGGAAATTGTCGCTTTGGAATGGTATCGAAATGGGTAAGCTGTATTCGCTCTGAAATGCAACAGTTCGGTCCTTGTCCTTTTCTTTGTCCTTTTCCCGATCGTGATCAGCGTTGTTGTGGGCATTGTAGTTTCCTGTGAAAATAAGTGCAATAAAATAAGTTTAAAAAAGAATATAAACTTGTTATTATAGCTTATACATTTGTTCGCTCAAATAAGAGCAACCGAATTGAAGTACCTTTCGTACTGCTAACCTTTGGATTAACACCTAATATCTATCAATACGTTTAAATAGTAACCAGTGACCCACCTTTGGCTCCAAACATCTCGGCGTGCTGCTTAAAAGCACTGCGATTGCGCTTGCCTCTCTTCCGCATGTTCAAGCGCAGGGGGGACACCTTCATTTTGGTTCTGCTGCGCTTCGACTTTGGACTACTTGGTCGCAGATCCGACTCCGCCTCCTCCGGCTGACGCTTGGCCGTCAGACTTGGACTGGGACTGTGACTGGGACTGATACTCGGACTCGGAGTCGTGCGACGACCCAAATTGCTTTCGGTGTCGGAATGATTGTGCTGATAGTTGGCTGCCGCCACCTCCTCGTCCTCGTCTTCCTCCTGATCCTCATCATCGTCGCACTCATCGTCCTGATCGATGATTTCAATCTCCTCGGCATCATCGTCATCCGATAAAGCCTGCCGCAGCACAATTTCCGGTCCACCACCATAGATGTTGTGTAGGAATCGCCAGAGGCGGGCATTTAGCTGGGCATAATCGGAGCCCAGTCTTACGCAGCTCACAGTGGCAGTTCCATTCAGAGGGCCATTCTCCGTGGGAGCAGCAATGCCCTCGTTGGTAATCGGTCCCGGCTCCTTGTGGGTCTTTCCCCGCGAGAACTGTTGCCACAGGCGCAGCCAGGGCATGGCGATGGCATAAATGGCCGTTGAATCGAATTCGTTCTGCAGACCATTGTACTTGGTGAACTCGTTCAGTTCGTACTGCTGTCGGCGGGTCAGCGTCTCCGCCGCCCGCTTGCAGATCTCGCACTCGAAGATGATGTTCACCGCTGGTCCGCCACCAAAGGTGCGGTAGAGATAGTCCCACAGCGGCTGGGAGATGGGCACCGCAATCTGGCTGATCATGTCGGCCTTGGAATGTAGAATCCCACCGTGGGGGCAGAGCATCTCCTGGTTGTTTATCGGTCCCGGCTCGGAGAACGTGGCCAGTCGCGAGAGCCACTCACGCGTTACATAGAACTGAATGTCCGAATCGCAAAGGGGATGACTTGTAGACAAGGTCATCGCCTGATCCCGCACTAGTTTCATCTGGGGATTGTGCTTTTGGTAGAAGAGCACGTACGCCTGGCAGGTCTGCACCGTCTCTGGAGACACCTCCGTCACATACTGATCATCGAACTCGTACCACTTTCCGTTGAGGGCATTGCGGGCATAGCAGGTGTAATGGCCACCACCCACCGTTCCATGGTGGCAGATCACCGACGACAGGTTGTAGAAGTGCACCTGACTCTTGCAATCCTTGTGGATGTACGGGCGCATGTCGAAGCCCTCCAGCGGAAAGTAGACGTCCGACGAGATCTTCGAGCTGTATGACAGATCGTGACGAAAGCGCTTCAGGTGGATGCACAGCACCTCGGGCAGAGTGAGCACTCGGGAGAACTTTATGCCCGTGCGGAGTTTGTTGCAACGCTCGCAGCTGAAAGACACACGTACTTAGATTGAAGTTATTTAGCAGTTAGGGGTTCACTCCCACCTGTACATGTTGTCCCCCTTAAGTTCGTCGGCGCTGAAGAAACTGGCCATGCAGTCGTAGAGCGTTACCGAGGGTCCGTAGATCCAGGAGCGCAGCACGTTCCACATCCAGGCCAGCCAGCCCTCGTTGGTCCTCGCGGAGGTTTCAGCTGCATTCAGGCTCTGCACACTCAAGCTGTGCGTCTGGTGGAGTACGGTGAGGAAATCGCGGTTGGGAATGGGCAGCGATAGGTCCTGGAATGTTTCCTCGCGCGTGGACACGCGATCGCAGGTCAGGCACTGCACGGAGGACAGTAGCTTGCCGTCGAACACGTCACTGATAATGGAGCGAGCCGCCTCGACGGGCTTCTGTTCTGGCGAGGATGTGTTCTTCTGCTGATGCTGCAGGTGCATTGCATGAGCTTCTGGCAGGGCGCTGTTCGAATTGTTCGTCCGGCAGGGCGTCACAAAGTACTCGGTCTTGAGCAGCACCTCCGCCGAGCGCTCCGACAGGCTGCTCTCGCAGGTGTCGTATTCGCTCTCGGAAGCTGGTGGCGTCAAGGACGCCGGGGCCGCCTCATCCTCGTTGTCGTCATCCGTCTCGCTGGGCGGGTGCTGCTGTTGCTGCTGTTGTGGTTGCATTTGGGACTGCCCCTGGATTTGGTTCTGCGTCTGTGGCATCAGCGAGACCTGCTCCGTGAGCTCCTCGTGCAGCTGATCCATGAAGCAGCGCAGAAATTCCTGGGTGTCGTGCTGTTGGTAGCCCCGGAACATGGGATGCACCGAGCGAATGCCGTACAAAATGCCACGCGGGGCAATAGACTCTGCAAAAGCTCAAACTTTAGTAGGGTTTCCAGTAAGTGAGGAGGATGAGGGGCAAAACCTTTGGGTTCATCGATATGCTGCCAGATGTCCTGCATCAGGCGGCGATAGCTCTTGGCCAGGCCGGCGGGTTTGCAACGGCGGGCGCTCTGCTCCGCAATGTACTCCACCAGGTCACTGCAGTTGATGAAGTAGTGCGTCATCGGCGGCAGATTGCTCAGCGCCTGCAGGGCCGAGTTCATGTAGCAGGTGTTGGCGATGTTCTGGAGGCCCACGAGTCCCGTGCCCGAGCCCTTGGCGTTGTCCTCGCTCCCGCTGACGCTGCCGCCGCCATCCTCGCGCCTGGCCAGCGAGTTAAGCGAACCGCTGAAGAGTTCGTCGTGGCACCGGCTGCTCAGGGGATCGCCCATGGCATGGCCGTTGGCCAGCTGTCCGGGAGAAAATCGAAAGTCATGTAATAGAGTCCAAAACAATGCCAATCCGCCTGGAGCGAACCTGGCCCCCCACCCCCTCACCTTGTGACTCTGCTCGCAATCGGCGGGGCGGCTGAGGTGGTCTACATGAGGGCTATGCTGATTTGGGTTGGGACTCAAACTCATTATAGCTCTCTGGCTGTGTGTGAATTGTGTTTTTTTGATGCTTTAATTGAGAATTTTGATTGGAACTACCGAAGAAAAGGCGTTTGCGATTATTGTTGGTATTTTTTGTATTTCGTCAAAGGTGTGACCAAAGCAAAATACCATGCGAAATTCAAGAGTTTTTAAAAAAAAAAATTTAAGCCATTTTGATATGTTTGTTTTTACCTCAAAAATTATTGCTATTTATTTTTAAAACAATTTTTAATTGAAAAAATAAAATAAATTGTGCAACAAGATACATCGCGTGAAGGCCATCGCAGGCGTGTCATCTCTACTTTAAAACGCTCGGTCACACTAAAAAAGAACGGGGGGGAAAAAACGCAGAAAATAGTCGAAAATGTGTACACAAAAAGTCTAACTAACTAAAGTTTTCATGAGTGATACGGTCCAAGAGTTTAGTGCGAGAAGATCGAGCGGCCAGTGAGAGGCCAGGTTTAGTCGCATTTATCCCGGAATGGGTCGCGCTTCGTAGATTTTCCTGCATCTGCTGGCGGAGATTCGACTTCCCCTCCGCTGTAAAAGGTAACAGCCCTGCCTTTCCGCATCCCCTTGTGTAACAGCCCTGCTTTTGCGTTGCTCCTGCTGTGAGCCCGAAATAAAAAGGACATATGTATCCGGATGAATCATTAATTGGGAGCAGGCGAGAAGTTGCCAGTGGCTCGGTTGGATGCACTGCTCCCCCCGCCCATCAGGGCAGCACCTATTACATCAATCTCCGTTCATGAAGCAGCACTTAACCAGCCAAACATCCCGTGTCCCAAATGATAGAGCTCTATAATTATAGTTTTAGCTAATCGCAGGCAGCAGTGCCCAACACGCAGACCGTTGGAAGAGTGCCAAGGAGCCATCATGACGCTGGAGACGCAGCCCGTTGGCGGGGTGAGCGACGGCAAGATCGCTGGGCTCTATGATCTGGAGGAGACCCTGGGATCCGGGCACTTTGCCGTGGTCAAGTTGGCCCGGCACGTGTTCACCGGCGCCAAGGTGGCGGTCAAGGTGGTGGACAAGACCAAGCTGGACGAGGTGTCCAAGGCGCACCTGTTCCAGGAAGTGAGGTAAGTGTGCATGGAAATCTAACCCGCGTCCCCTTAAAGAACCCCTCTTCCCTTAATCCTCTCCAGATGCATGAAGCTGGTGCAGCACCCCAATGTCGTGCGACTGTACGAGGTTATTGACACCCAGACCAAGCTGTACTTGGTTCTGGAGCTTGGCGACGGCGGTGATCTGTACGATTACATAATGAAGCACGAATCCGGCCTCAGCGAGGAGCTGGCCCGCAAATACTTCCGCCAAATCCTACGTGCTATCACGTACTGTCATCAGCTGCACGTGGTGCACAGGTGAGAGCCCGCTCCAACTGATAATACGCCGTACAGTCTCGATCACTGATTTACGTAACCTTTTCCCCACATTCCCAGAGACCTTAAGCCGGAGAATGTGGTGTTTTTCGAAAAGCTGGGCCTGGTCAAGCTCACCGACTTTGGGTTCAGCAACAAGTTCTTGCCGGGCCAAAAGCTGGAGACCTTCTGCGGCAGCTTGGCCTACTCGGCCCCGGAGATTCTACTGGGTGATTCATACGATGCGCCGGCAGTGGGTATGTCCTGCCCAAAGAATCTTTTTTTTGGCCCTATCCTAACAATTTTATTAATCCCCAAGACATTTGGTCCCTGGGAGTCATCCTGTACATGCTGGTTTGCGGTCAGGCGCCTTTCGAAAAGGCCAACGACTCGGAAACCCTCACCATGATCATGGACTGCAAGTATACGGTGCCCTCGCACGTGTCCACTGATTGCCGGAATCTAATTGCCTCGATGCTGGTGCGGGATCCCAAGAAACGGGCCACCGTCGAGGAGATTGCCTCCTCCGCCTGGCTTAAGCCAATTGACGAGCCCGACTCCACGACGTCCGCAACGGAGCATATGCTGCCTTTGGTCAGCCGCGAGCAGCTGGGCGAAGAGGATCACGCTTTTATCATACAGAAAATGATAAATGGAAACATTGCGTCCAAGGAAGAGATATTGCAGTGAGTAGACCATAAATATATAACCAATTCTTTCTGGCTGACCCCACTTGACGTCATTGCAGGGCTCTCGACAAGAACAAGTACAATCACATTACAGCCACATACTTTTTGCTGGCTGAATTACGTCTGCGACGGCGGCGTGAAGAGCAGGCCCAAAAGCAAAGGCTTCTCAATGATCCCAGCATCAAGTGAGTTTTAAATACCAGAGAAATATCAGCCCTAACCCATACATTCCTTCTTCAGAGTGGGTGATGCGAGTCGCAAGCCCGTGCCTGAAAAACCAAGTCCCACAGAAGCACCGAAAGGAGGAGCACCCATCAGCATTAACGTGACTCCAGCAGCTCAGTTTGCCAACGACGGCGGCAAGCCAGTAAGTTAATTAGTATTCCATTACGCCTGCAGCAAATGTAATTACATCGTTTACTTTGACAGGACAAACGCAGTCGCAAGTGCAGCATTGTGCGGGAGGAGGACGAGGAGGAGTCTGCCACAGAGTGCTCAGGCATAGGAAATGAGTTGACTGTACAGACGTCGCGGCGCGAGACCACCTCAGATGGTCTACACAATAGGTCAGTACACGAGCGTTCCAGCTCTGAGCCCGGGGTGCCAAGCCATTCACGCACAAAGATTGTTGTCTCCGTGGATGCGACGCTGGCCCAGAAGCTGAAGCAGATGGAGAAAAGTGCCAAGATAGACGAGGACACGCTGAGTGGCCTGAAGGAGCTGGAGATTGGCAAACTGAAGCCGCTACCCAGCAGCAGCAAGAATCCGGTGCTCACACACCGACGCACAAAGCTGAACAAGATTCGGACGCCTTCGTGCAGCAGCTCGGAGGCATCCGACGACGACACCAAGACGCGCAACAAGAAAAAAATCAACAAGTTCGTGGGCGACACGCCCGTGCGGTTTCGCATGCACCGGCGGGACTCGCACGACGACTCGAGCGACTCGCAGGATCAGCTTTATCCGCCGCCTGGATCGGCCAGCGGTGCGGCCAATTTTATCTCGAAAAGCGGCTCCGTAAGTGGTAAAAAAGAAGGACAATCGCAGTACAAGGAGGTGAGGATTTTAGATCTGATCAACATAAAAATGAGTATTAAATTTTTACACTTCTCTCCCTGCTAGCCGAATAAATCCGATGAAAATCGCAAATCTCACACACAAAAGAGCCGGAAGCAGCACAAGGACCATGTTGACAAACATTCCCACGCTGAGAAGCAGCAGGCAGAGAGCACCACAGCTACAACAGGAAACACTACGAACAGGAGGCGACGCATGCGCGAGAGTCAGTCGCTGGATCGCATCACAGAGGCTCAGGAGTACGAGATGCGGCATCGCTGCTACGCGGAGAGCGAGGCGCCCTCCTCGTCGTCCTCGTCCACCCAACATATCGATCAGAGGTATTCAGTGCTCAACCTGAATACCAGCACATTCTCCGTTGCCGAAACCAAGGAAGAGTACGACGAGGAGGCAGACGCCGCAGATGCCACGGACCAAATCATGAACACCTTGAATGCAGCCAAAGCTACGCTTCAGCAAGAGCAATATTTTAATAACAATACCAATCTTAGTAGGAACTTCAATCACCACAACAACCACAACCATAACAATAACAATCACACCCAGAGCATCATCCACATCAGCAGCCAGAAAGCCAACAGCAAGAAGTCCAACGAAACACCAAAAGATATTTATAATCTAAACTCAATCGAGCAGATCGACTTGATTTTGGAGGATAAAAGCCTTACCAAAGCAATACACGTTACCGGCTCTAAATGCTTTGTCACCATGAAGAAAATCCGACGGCTGGGAAAGTACTTTCCCATGATGAATTTTTCTTAATAGACACAGTTACTTCATTGCAAAGTGCATTCTAAATATTTAAAAAAAAAAACTCGGTTAAGCGAACTACGTAGAAAATATGCATGTATTAATTAAAACGTATAAACGTCAACGTTATCCCCCGTATATAGGAAAGCGCGCGAGAATATTTAAATTTAAATTTAGTGGTAGCGTAATTGTTTTGTCTGTCGTCGTCATTACGCTTAAATTATTCTAAATATATTAATTTATGTATAACTATAAGTCTAATCACTCAATGCAATATTTAGTGAAAATACATTAATGCCCATACGACATTAGACTAAAAAGTGACTAGTTTCTTAACTAGGCACTTAATAAAAATGGGTTGAGGGGAAAAGTATAGTTTGGATCGCAGGAACTTGCTACTGTCCTTGCTTTGAATTTTGCCGCCTTATTAAAAGTGTGTACACATCTTCCAGTTTCTCCACCAAAGTAGTGTCTTTTCCAACACTGCCGATCAGCTGTTCCGCCTCTGGTCACACAGCCCCGGTCCCGAAAAAGAGATGATTTTTTGCGGCACGAAAATTGATTAATAACTAATAAATAAACAAAGTTAACTGAGTGGAAACTGTTATCCTGACCAGCAGTCATGTTGCGCATCTATCAGAACACTTACCGGTAAGGATGCGTGGCCGCCGCGGCAGAGGCCAAAAGTTTACCTCGCCTTTTCCGGACGATTTCGTCATCGGCGCATCTCTCATTTGGCCGTGTTTCATCCACAGGCGCACCGCGAGAAAAGCTGTTGTCTACTCCACGAAAGTGGCCTGCTGCAACCATTCCACGCTCAGCCGGATCACCAGCCACCCGCGTCGTCAGCAGGATAATGGCAGCTCGCGTTCCCACCAGCGCCACGAGGAGTTCCTGCTGGCCGGCAATCCGGCGAGGGGCTGGCAGATGCCTCCGCCGTCGCGCGGCTACGGGATGCTGGTGGTACGCATCCTGCGGGGAGCCCTCAAGCTGCGCTACATCGTCCTGGGCGGCGCCATCGGCGGGGGCGTGTCCCTGAGCAAAGTGAGTTTCGCATGTTATATAACACTCGTTGCAAATTCAAAAGATACGCATTGTTTTTCGCCAGAAATACGAGGACTGGAAGGATGGCCTGCCCGACTTCAAGTGGCTGGAGGATGCCATGCCGCAGGGCGAACGGTGGAGCCAGTTCTCGCGGAATCTCATCGAGGTGGGCTCCCTGGTCAAGAACGCCATCGATGTGGGTAAGTGTCCCTGCTGCGCCTCCTTTTCTCGCCCCTTCTATCTCTCACTTTAAATGGTCATTACCGGGGGTCAGAATCGCATTGAAATCTTCGTTTTGATTGATTTGATTTCGCACTGACTGATACTTGTACTGATGTTATTGGGGCGTTTGCTTGTAGATCCAAAGCTCAAGCAGCTGGGCGAGGATAAGTTGTCGGAATGGCGCAGCTGGTTCGACAGTCGTCTGGACGATGCCATCGAGGCGGCCGACTATCAAGGAGTTCAGATTGTCGAAAGTAGGTTCACACAAACACACAGACTCCCAACCTTTGGGGCCAATTTAAAGTGAGAGAACCCTGCCCACCGTAGTCGAGACTTATTCCTAACATCTGTTGCAGCCAAAGATGACCTGAAGGCCAAGACGACGGTGGCCGCTCTGGGCATAACCTCCGATGAGAGTCGCAAGAAGTATGGTAAGGTTCAGGGCCCTCTGAAAATCGAGTTTATATACAGCACACTGGATTTACCCACAGAGAAGCTGCAGAGCCAGGTGGAGACCCTACAGACGGAGATCATGAACGTGCAGATCAAGTACCAAAAGGAGCTGGAGAAGATGGAGAAGGAGAACCGAGAGCTGCGCCAGCAGTATCTCATCCTCAAGAGTAACAAAAAGACCACGGCGAAGAAGATCAAAAAGTCGCTGATAGACATGTACTCGGAGGTTCTGGACGAGCTGTCGGGCTATGACACGGGCTACACCATGGCCGATCACCTGCCCCGTGTCGTGGTGGTGGGAGATCAGAGCAGCGGCAAGACCTCTGTGCTGGAATCCATTGCCAAGGCTCGCATCTTTCCCCGCGGCAGTGGAGAGATGATGACGCGAGCCCCAGTGAAGGTCACCCTGGCCGAAGGACCCTACCATGTGGCTCAGTTCCGCGATTCGGATCGGGAATACGATCTGACCAAGGAGTCTGACCTGCAAGAGCTGCGCCGCGATGTGGAGTTCCGCATGAAGGCGTCGGTGCGAGGTGGCAAAACAGTGAGCAACGAAGTCATTTCCATGACCGTCAAGGGTCCCGGTCTTCAGCGCATGGTTCTTGTGGATCTGCCAGGCATTATTTCGGTAAGTATGCTTACTTTTTGCATATATCTTCAATATCAAATTTTAATATGTGATTTTCTTTAGACCATGACTGTGGACATGGCTTCGGATACCAAAGATTCGATTCACCAGATGACCAAGCACTACATGAGCAACCCGAATGCCATTATCCTGTGCATTCAGGACGGATCTGTGGATGCCGAACGCAGCAATGTCACCGACTTGGTCATGCAATGTGATCCTTTGGGCCGGCGTACCATTTTTGTGCTCACCAAGGTGGATCTGGCCGAGGAACTCGCCGATCCCGACAGGATAAGGAAAATCCTCTCCGGCAAGCTCTTTCCCATGAAGGCTCTGGGTTACTATGCCGTCGTGACTGGACGCGGACGAAAGGATGATAGCATAGATGCCATACGGCAGTACGAGGAGGACTTCTTTAAGAACTCCAAGCTTTTTCAGTGAGTATCGAAGGCATATGCAAGATATGATGTATACTAAGATTAACCTCTTTAAACTTAGTCGTCGCGGAGTTATCATGCCGCATCAGGTGACGAGCCGTAATCTCAGCTTGGCGGTGTCGGATCGTTTCTGGAAGATGGTGCGGGAGACCATTGAGCAGCAGGCGGATGCATTTAAGGCGACCAGGTTCAATCTGGAAACCGAATGGAAAAACAACTTTCCCAGGTGGCTGAATTTATCTCACAATGATTGAGCTGTCTAACATCTCAGATCAAATTTCTTAGATTGCGCGAGTCTGGCCGTGACGAGCTGTTCGACAAGGCCAAGGGCGAGATACTGGACGAGGTGGTGACGCTCTCGCAAATCTCCGCCAAGAAGTGGGACGACGCCCTCAACGCCAAGCTGTGGGAGAAGCTCTCTAACTATGTGTTTGAAACCATCTACCTGCCCGCCGCTCAGTCAGGTTCTCAAAGTAATATTTTGTAGTGCTAAGTTGTAGGTTGTAGGCTGACTTCGCCGACGTCATCATTGGGGGCACGTCCATCCCATCGCCCGTCATTGTGTGCAGTTCTTCAAAGGGGCTTTCCCCTGCCTCGAACTTCACGTGTATCTGTAAATGTCGTGTCGTAAAAATGTTTTGTTTAATTTTGCATTTAACATGGCCCGCATTCCCGTGCAAGGGAATCACATGCGTCGACGATTTCTAAACCGGTTATTGGACCTCCTGCGCGACTCCCCATTGAATCATGCGTGTAAATTTAATGTGTACTCCCCGGCGGCCGAATTCAACGCCATTAGCACCGTTTGCCTTTGCCCCGAAAATAGAGTGACTAAGCCGGGATCGTCACAGGGCCTGCGGCGCAGTCATGTGCCGGAAAGTGTTATGAGCGGAGATTTACGAGCACCTGTAATGAAACCAGATTTTTGTTAATGTGCACAGTATAAAAATGTATGCGATATCAGCGATGTATTGCCGACAAACACGTTTTTGCCCGCACAGCGGCTATTTACTTTGCATTTTATGACAGATCCGTTAATTTGCTCAATGAATTCAGCGAAATCAATGTCTAATTGGTACAAATTGCATTTATCGAGTTAGGCATTTGAGTGTTTTGTGGCTATGTCTACCATTATACCCCCATATCTGTGTGCCGGGCTAGTTTCGTTCAACTAATTGCATCCAATGATTGCGCTCTTTATAGACTCCTTCAATACAATGGTGGACATCAAGCTGCGCCAGTGGGCGGAGCAGGCGTTGCCCGCCAAGTCGGTGGAGGCCGGCTGGGAGGCCCTGCAACTGGAGTTCATCTCGCTGATGGAGCGCTCGAAGAAGACGCAGGATCACGACGGCATCTTCGATCAGCTCAAGTCCGCCGTGGTGGATGAGGCCATTCGCCGGCACAGCTGGGAGGACAAGGCCATCGACATGCTGCGCGTGATCCAGCTGAACACCCTGGAGGATCGCTTCGTGCACGACAAACAGGAGTGGGACTCGGCGGTCAAGTTCCTGGAAACTTCCGTCAATGCCAAGCTCGTGCAGACGGAGGAGACGCTGGCCCAGATGTTCGGACCCGGTCCAATGCGACGGTTCACCCACTGGCAGTACCTGACGCAGGATCAGCAGAAGCGGCGAGGCGTCAAGAACGAACTCGACAAAATCCTCAAGAACGATACGGTAAGCTTAAATGTTTAAAACGCAGGGACCGTAAACATTAAACAATTGATAAGTATTTTTTGAGCAACAAAAAGTTACTCAAAAATATTTGATTTCTTTTTAAGCATTGTTTTATGATCAAAAAATTCTTAGAAGGGATTGTTTTATTTAGCCTATTAAGTGAATCAAGACGAACCGAAAACACATATTTCCAAAAATAATAATGAAATTTTAATTTAAAATTGGGTTTTTTTTGGGTTGGTCTTCAAAAATGCTGCACAAAAAAGTTGACCGACTTTGAGCGCAAAATCGATGATGATTAATTGATGAGTAATTATTTTATGGCTCAAAACAAAAATAATTATTTTGTGAGCGATTAAATTAAACTCAAAAAACGATCTTTAAGGTGTGGTTATTTTTTTTAATCAGAATAATGATTGTTAATTATGGTTTCTGTATAAATGTCATTAATATCAATGATTTTTACGATAAAAATAACTTTAAGTACTTAAAAACTTTCTTAATTTATTTTTCACTTGTAAACATTTAATTTTATGATTAAAAGAAGAAATTCAAAATTATTGAGTGATTAAAACCAAATTATTCTTGAAACTATATTGTAACCTTTGAAATTTTAAAATACTAAGCATTCTTATTAAGGCATAACTGAAATATTTATTTTTTGTATTGTAATATATATTCAAAATGAGTAGATAACATACTGTAATTTTTATAACTATTATTGTAGAAACATTTACCCACTCTAACCCATGATGAGCTGACGACGGTGCGCAAGAACCTGCAGCGTGATAATGTGGACGTGGACACGGACTACATTAGGCAAACGTGGTTCCCAGTCTACAGAAAGTGAGTTGACTTGTGTAACACATTTTCAGGCTTATCTGTGACACTTATGTCCTTCCCTTCAGACACTTCCTGCAGCAGGCGTTGCAGCGGGCAAAGGATTGCCGGAAAGCCTACTACCTTTACACGCAGCAGGGGGCCGAGTGCGAGGTGAACCGGAAGACTTTCCCCTCATTCGATGCAATTTATTTAATGGTATTTATGTTTGCCTTCTGCCACTTTCAGATCTCCTGCAGCGACGTTGTGCTCTTCTGGCGCATCCAGCAGGTGATCAAGATAACGGGCAATGCGCTGAGGCAGCAGGTGATCAATCGGGAGGCGCGGCGGCTGGACAAGGAGATCAAGGCGGTGCTGGACGAGTTCAGCGACGACGAGGAGAAGAAGGGATACCTGCTCACCGGCAAGCGTGTGCTGCTGGCCGAGGAACTGAGTGAGTTAACCAGCTAATTGAGTTTAGCGCCAACCTAATTGCTTCCAATTCAACAGTCAAAGTGCGACAGATACAGGAGAAGCTGGAGGAGTTCATCAATTCACTGAATCAGGAGAAGTAGTAGTGTGCCATGACCAAAGACACAACACCACACAACACCCGAGGCGTTACTTATTTAACTTAACTGGATAGTTTAAGCCCACATTGCAAATGTTCGTTCATAGTCACGCTTGAGCTTCGAGCCCCGAGCCCCTTAGTTAAGCCTACTTTGCGCTCCGAAAGTAATAAACCGATAGATCGTTAGTTCGTATTACCGAAATCGTCTTTATTGTTTATGAAGTGTAACCTTATGTCGCATGCAATGCAATGTAAACTCATTTTAATTAATTTAAATGTAATACAAATCATTCTTTCTGTTTCAATGTAATTGTAATTGTAGTTGATAAACGTAAACGCGAAACGCACTCAACGTGCTGAGTATGTAGCGGTCCGTGTGTTTCTATCTGTATCTGTATCTGTATCGTTTAATATATATAAATCTGTTTGCATAAGAGCACAGCACTTGTAGCAGATGCCTCATCGTGTGGCTGATTGTTTATTTGTTTTGTCCACGATCGGCTAATCCCACGATGCAGCAGCGGTATCGAGGTGCATTAACCCCGCACCAAACGATCGGCTGGCCGCGTCTCTAATTGATTGATTGTTTGATTGATTGATAAACGTATATCTAGCTAGCTATGTAACAAGTCCGTGGTGGCGGTGCAGTACCATATCTCTTAGAGGGTAAACAAATGCTCGTTCCCTATCATGTTAAATAACTCAACAAACGATTCTTAACTTGGCAGTCGACTTGTGGCCCAGCCATGTGCTCAGCTGCTTACGGCTATCATAATAATATTAATAATGTGTTCGGTTCTCCACTGCAATTCGCTTAGCCTAGGCTGCTCCTCCACTAAAGCTTATAGAAACATAATTTACACTCGCTCTGATTGTGTGTGTGATTGTGATTTAGGATAAGGGTAAGGTGTTGTGTGCTGTGATAGGCACTCGATATCGCTGAAGGCACAACATTACGCTTAGTCTAATCTTAACGTATCAAGTACTCGGAACACGCTTCCGCGCTCGCTTGCTTCCCCACCGAAACCGGTGTGGAACTTCATCGGCATGTCCATCGACTGATTGGCAATTGGCAAATGGCAATTGGCAATTAGTGTGTTGCCAAAACCGAAGGTGCCACTGCCATCGGAGACAGTCAGTTGGCGGCTGCGCGATGACAAGGTGTTCGGGCTGTTTGGCTGTTAGGCTGTCTGGCTGGGCAGGTAGGTCTTCGATTGCTCCATTCGCTCCACAGCTTAGCTCCCTAGGCCGCCGGCAGGGGGGTGAGCTTCTCGTTGCGCCGCTGCTCCCACCTGCTCACACAGGTGAGCGGATAGCACAGGAAGGCCGACAGCAGGATCAGGCCACCGGCGAAGTAGAAGGCCATGTTGTAGCTGTTCGTCATCTCGTACAGGATTCCTGTGGAGTATTCAAATTACCAAAACATTAGTTCATGTCACTTTTTGGGATTTTACTAATTTCTAACTATCAATTAGGAAGTACACATATCATTTTGGTGACCCCGAACAAGAAAAGAAGGTCTTTTAAATGTCTTTTTTTTAGCTTTAAGAGCTTGTGCATATATCCTTTTTTTTAAGTTAGCCTAAATAATTAAAATAAAATTAAATTTAATGAATAAAATCAAGTGGACCGACTGTTAAGTTATCTTATCAACCTCAAAAAATAAATATGCCGCCTGACATAACCGGGTTTTAGGTGGCGCCATTTACCAAAAAATTTACATTTAATCAACGAACTTTTAAAAAACTGGTTTGATTTGAAAGATTTTTGTATGAGTGGATAGGTATTGACCTGATAAACATGTATAGCCTAATAACTGACCATTACCGTACTGCTGAATGACACCGATTTGTGGGCACTAGAGTGGGCGTGTCCACATTTTGAAAAAAAAAAACATCAATCTGCATCTAAAATCCCAAATATCTAGATTTTATAGTTTTCGTTAAAACGGATGGACAGACGAACAAACAGACGGACATGGCTAGTAATTGGTATAAATAATTGTCTTTTGGATGTATGGTTTTTATATGTTAGTGTATAATTGTGTATTTTATAAACTGAGACGCAGAATTATATCTTCCTTATAACACTCCTTGATCTGATTCTTCTTTAACCAAGATAATATTAGATTACAGAGATTCAAAAACACTATAACTATAACTAGATCAAAATGGAGACGTCCATTTTCCAAAACTTGTAGTTATGCTACGTTGTACTCAGTTGTACTTTTAATTTAAATCCTATTTTGTTTATTGCTTTTTTCTTTTGTTTTGTTTTGAGATGTTAACCCGGTTTTAGCCAAGGAGACCAAATAAATCTAAGTTGCGGTACGGATAAAAGGCAAATTGTAGTGCCCCCTTTACTCACCCGCAATGGGACTGCCAAACGTGGCCGCCAGGCCCTGGAAGAGCATCAGGAATCCGTAGGCGTTGGTCAGCTTCTCCAACCCGATCAGCTCGACGGCGATGAGGGAGCGCAGGGCCGAGAAGCAGGCGATGCAGATGCCGAAGAAGAGGGCGAATGTCCACTGGCTGGCCGTGGTGATGACCACGCCGCTGAAGATGGTAGCGATGCCGCCGGCAGTCAGGGCGAAGTTGTTCAGCCAGAGCGGCTTGATGGCCGGGAACGAGCTGATCGATCCGCACACGATCCTGGCGAAGGTGTTCACAATGCCGATGCCGCCGAGCACGTCCAGGGCGGTGTCCTCATCCATGCCGGCGGCCTTGGCGCGGTCCACCAGGAAGGAGAAGGGCACAAAGAAGCCCATCATGGTGAGGAAGCCGCTAAAGGCCAAACACATGAAGGCGGGCGACTTGAGCAGCGTGGTGTCCAGCATGGTGGCCAGTGTGCGACGCACTGCCTCCGGGCAGATGCGGCATCCCTTCTGTCGCTCCTCCAGCATGTCCTGCTTGGTGGGCAGTCGGGTGACGGACATGTGATAGGCCAGCGATGTCTGCGACTGATACTGCGGTATCCGGGTCAATGATCCCGTAAAGAAGATATCGTCGCGGTACATCGGCCGCGACGAGGAGTGCGTCTGTCCGTGGTGAGCCTCGTGGGCGGCGGCGGCGGACCGCTTGCCAATGTCCTGGGGCCGACGTCCGGAGACCGTGTGTCGGCGCGCCTGGATGGTCACCGGCTTGGCCTCCGTCTCCAGCAGATTGTCGTTCTCCGCTTCCTCCTCGTTCTCGCCCACGGTGGTCAGCTCCTTGTGCAGATTGAAGGTCAGCTGCTGCGGATCGCCGTTGGGCGTGGTGGGCTGCGACTTGCGCAGTTGCTTCAGTTCCGTGCCCTTGCCGCCGGCGGCGGTGCCCGATGGGCGGCGCTCCAGGTTCATGCCCTTGAAGATCTCCTGAGCGGTGGGATAGTGGTGGCGCTGCGACGCACCCATATACGTGTTGTGGGCCGAATTGGGCATCGAGTAGGCGAAGCGACCTTCGGGCAGCGGCTTGGTGAAGGCCGCCTGGTGCAGCTGCGGAGTGGGGGCCACCGTGTTGCCGTGTCCATTTAGTTTGCTCTTCTCCGGATCCTCTTCGTTGCTGGCGGACAGCGTGATGGGCTGGATGGGCCGGAAGGTCAGGCCAAAGATGGCGCACAGCAGCACAATGGCACCCTGGATGGCGAGGGTCTCGCGCCAGCCGCTCTTCAGCAGAACCTTGGTGAGGGGGGCGAACACAAAGGTGCCCACGCCGGAGCCGCACATGGCCACGCCGGTGGCCAATGCACGCCACTTCTCGAAGTAGAAGCCAATGATGACCACGGCCGGGATGTAGACCATGCAGAAGCCAATGCCGCCCAGCACGCCGTAGATCAGGAAGAGATACTCCACGCTGGTGGCGAAGTACGACAGGCCGAAGCAGATGGCCGCGAATATGGCCCCGGTGATGGTGACCGGACGGAAGCCGAACCGGTTGGCCAGCGCACTCACAAAGGGTCCGGCCATCAGGTAGCAGCCGCTGAGCAGCGACGACACGAACGCCACGTAGCCCTTGCTCACATGGAACTCCGCCATCAGCTGCTCCTGGATCAGTGGCGAGCAGAAGACGATGCCGTCGATCACCGTGCAGCAGAGGAAGGAGGCCACCATCACCACCCAAGCCCAGCCACTGTCCGGCGGCACCACCACAGCCGCCTCCTCGATCTCGTCCTCGTTCTCGTTCTCATTCTCCTCCTTGATGTTGTCCGGCTGCCGGGACACCAGGTTGTTGGTGGCCAGCTCGTCCTGCGACCTCGTCTGTTGCGTGGCCATTTCCTGCAAGGATTAATTAGGATGAATCAGTAGGGATCCAGCACTCAGCTTGATTGGTTACGCAAGTGTTTACCCCAAAACCGAGTGGCCTTCACATTGCGTATACGCCCCCATGGCCCAGCCCATTTAGCATGGAATCGGTCTATTTTTAAATGTCACGTGCCCCGATAGCCGCGCAATTGAACATTCACCCTTTACCTGTACCTGTACTGCCACAGTCCAGTTCAAAATATTAGTGGGCAATTTGGGAAACTCAGCAGGATCAGTTCCACGGTAAAACACAAATACAATAATTTTGAAATTAGCATTAAAAAAAGTAATGCTGGTAAAAACACTTTTTAGTACAATTTTTAAATATTTGTGGGAAATTGTATAAAATATTTTTTCAGCAGCTTTACTTTTTTTTCATTTCTAAAGAAATGAATAGTGCTAAAAAAAAACAAATTAATATTCACTGGCAGAAAATAGTCAATAATAAAATATATATTAACAAACCGCACAAAATAAATTATAATTATATACTTGTTTATTTAGACAGTACAAGTTGAAACAGACAGTTATAGATTTGCTTGATTATTGCTTGAAAAACAGTTTAAACAAATTCAAAAGTATATAACATATTCTCTCCTGTTAGCATTAGCATTGCTTTGTAGTTTTGTGATGACAGACTGCAATGGTAATATATTTACTTTATTTACAAAATGAATGTTTTTGGGGAGTTTTTTTATTTATAATGAAAAATAATTATTCTTTGTCAGAAAATAATCATTAATAAAATATATATTAACAGACCCAACAGGATTTATGTTTTTTCTATATTTACCTATTCATTTATATATTTATAGAAAAAAGTAAACAAATGTATTTAAAAGTTTTTCATATTTTCTGTAATATTATTAAAGAAACTATAATGAAATAATAAATAATAAATTTACTTTTCATTAGGAATTAAATAGTTTTGGGAAGTCTTTTTCTAATGTCTAGTGAAATGACTAATACCAATAAAACGAATGATCATTAATAAAATATATATTAACCAACAAAACAAAAAAAATACTAGCCCATGTGTAAAGTAGACAAAGTAGAGCAGTCATTGCTTGGCAAACAGATTAAATAAATATATTGAAAAGTATTTCATAATCTCTCAAAAGATTTCAAGAGCACAGTCACTATTCGTTTTCCCGCAGCTATGCAAATATATCTGTGGGATATCTGCGAAAAAGGTGCGTGGTGTGAAAGGCTTTTGCTTTTCGCTTTTTGCTGTTTGCTGTTTATCACATCGACGTCAATCGGCAGATGGCACTGACGGGGGGGCGGTCTTTACTGGTTGGATGGGTGGGTGTCAGGTGGTGATCGGTGGGTGATCAGTGGGTGGTGGGTGTTGGGTGGTGGGTGGTGGGTGGTGGGTGGTGGGTGGTGGGTGGTGGGTTAACAAACGTCAAACGACATGGCCAATGCCAGGGCCAGGAGTGCGTCAACGATTGTCTTGGCCAAACGAAAAAAAAAAAACAGCAAATGGAATTTGCAATTATGTATTCCATTTGGCAGAGGCAGAAGTCAGAAGACAGAAGACGGCACACGAGTACATATTGTTGTGTTGTGTGAATTTTGCCTTTTCTTTTGAGTGCTTCTCTTGTTTGTCCACATCTTTCGGCTAACAAACTCTTGGCCTTGGCGCTGGCTTTGCTGCCTTTGTCGCCTTTATCTAATCTGATCCGCCTACGGGCAAATTGGCATAGAGTTTAGCCAACTCACAACCGACTGCCCTGGAGCGGATGCTTACATGGACGGAGCGTGGACAGCCGTCGTAAGCACACAAGGCGAGATGATTTGCGATGATGATGACTTTGTAACTAAACCAAACTGATCTTACAAATATTTGACATCCCCCGACTTAGATAAAACACCATGTCATACCACAAATTGCAGGGATTTACGGGCACCGAGATTTCATCGTTTGCCACTGAGATATAGCTATAGATAATCACTGGCTCCTACTAGCCGGCAGGCGACTGCATTCCATAAATTAATTGATAATTTTGCCAGATTTGAGGCTTATCATGGCGGATTTACGTGGCCCGGCAACGGCTTAACCGGACAGTATACGGCTTATATGGCCGACTGATACGGATTCGTGCCTGGCAACAGCAGCACCTACAGCACCTAAAGCACCTTCAGCACTTCCACCACGTGACAGGGCCCAGTTTGATAATTTCATTTCCTTTATGGCCGAATTTCGGCTATATCATTGACCATGCGAATTTATGGGTCCCCCATAAAGACCAAGTGCCACGATAGCACAAGGGTCTGGTCTGGTCTGGCTCGTTTTTGTTTATTGTGCAATCGAAAGTGTTGCGACAACCATCCTCGAGCCAATCCAAACACAATAACATAATACTTTGCCGCACACCCAGTGGCAGGCAGACCCCTTCTTTAACCGACTCGTATTTCAGATTTTGTTTTCATTTTCATGCCCAAATGGCCACGTCGGCGAGGGCCTGTGCAAGTGCTGGATGCCGGAGGTGCCCATTGCCCAGAAACAAGAATCGAGAATTGAGAATCGAGTATTGAGAATCGAAAATCAAGAACCGAGAAGTGGCAGCCGGGCATCGAGTACCCATCGAAGGAAACCCGTCAAGTGCCTTCGCGTAACTGACTTGCAACAGCAGAAGTATAAATAGACATTAGCGTTTACTAGTTGCCCCGATCCCATATTGTGACCACCATATCGAAAGCGAAGACATCTTAGGGCTACAAATTGGCTAAAGGACGCACCCAGAGTGGGTCTTGCGAATCTGCCAATAGGGTTTATCAGCTATCTAAAGGGGTTTGTAAGGAGTACTACTTAAAGTAGTGGTTTAAATTCTTTAAGCCTTTAATATTTAATTATTAAATATTTTTATATTATTTTGTTACATATATGATATATATACATAAGTACAAATTTTTGCTAGTTTTTGTGCCTCGATAAGAACTACTTGACATCTATATGCGCATGTTAATAATATAACCCCTATACTTTAAGTTTCATTTCTAGTCCAAAGAGTCAAAAACTGCCTTATTTTTAAAGCACAAACGATTTATTTTAGTTCATTCGTACTAATAATTTAATACTAATCTTACTAATAGTTTAAAATTCATTCAACAATAGTTTAGTTTATATGACAATATTATAATCGCGAGTTTATATAAGTTACTTTACTGTTCATTTACTTACTTTAACTTACTGTTCGTTTGTGTTTTAAATTTTTTTAACCCACTGCCTCGATAAGAACAATTGAACATCCATATGTAAATGAAGTGCAGCTCCTTTTACATATAATATAATGTAATACATATATGGGTAATCTGTTGTTCCAGTTGTTATTGCTGGTAAGGGTATCCCTTATCCCGCCTTTGAGCTCGGGCATAACTAGCTTTAATGCTCTCCGTTTTGTTTGCTTCCCGGTGGGATTGGCTCCACAAGCGGCGGGTAATGTGACAAGGCGGCTCCTGCGGCCTCCGTGGCCTCTGTGGCCTCCGTGGCCTCCGAATCCGCCCCCTCCCGCTTCTTGTAAGTTAATCCCGCTGCGGGTAAACAGCCAACACCCCCCGCCATGCCCCGCCCCGCACCGCACCCATCCATCAGTCAGCTTTTTTTTTTTTTTAGGAGCCAACGGGGGCGGAGGTCGCAAACACTTGTCAGCGCCAATTGTGACTGTTTGACAGCGCTTAAATTGATGCCCGTCGATTGAATTAATAAATGTTATAGGTAAACACATATGGCCAGAAAAGGACGGACATTTAGGGAGGGGGTTGCGTAAGGCCGACCAGCCAGACAAAAACGCAGACGCAGACGTAGACGGCGACTTCTTAAGATGTTTTCCTGCCGCACATGTATCTGCAAGTCGAGTATCGAGTACGAGTATCTCTATCTGCCAACGTCGGTATCCCTCGGTATTGCACACATATGTCGCAAGTAGTACATGGCTCTGTTATTTATAACATGCAACTGTGGCCGTCCGGTTCTTGGCCTGCGTCCGGGCGTCCTTCTCTTGGCTCCACTTCCTCCTCCTCATCCACCAACTACGTCTCCTCCTTGTCATCCAACTCTTCGTGCGTGCGGACCCATTTAGATAGTCGGTGTAGCGGACAGGTTCCGATACTCGTAGCCGTATCTCAGCGCCGCAATTTGTAGGTACAAGTGAAGCAATCGTTAAACGACTTTATGCTCAAAATATTAATTAGCTAAGCCGGCCCCAAAATGGAGCGATAGCCCTAGATGGCGAGTCTGGCGGAGAGGTAGCAGTGAAAACACAGACATTGGCCCGAGAGACATCGACTTTGGGATGCTCTGAAGTTTTGGGATGTTGTTTTATTCCTTGGTGGAATTTTGAACTCTGAATTAACACAAAAACTATAAAGCCAAATGTCTTTAAAGTAATTCTATAAAAATTTTCATTGAGTAACAAAACTTAGCTTGAAATAAAAGAAGAATATTTGAGAGTTGCAAAAAACCATTTCAAGTGTGAAAAAGTTATTTTGATTAACTATAATAACTATTTGTTTAATATCATTTTTATCCGAATTAAAATAACTAAGACCAATCTCAAGAATGTGATGCAACAGCTGCAGAATGAGTGTATGTGTGGTGTTCCAAAAATGTATTTCAGTGACAAATCACCCCGAAAACGAGCGGAAGAGTTCCAAAAATATATGCCAGGTTTGTCACCGGATCAGTTTGGATCTGCGGATGACTTTCTCCGAAGAGGGGACACACTCTCTTCACGGCTCCACACTCGTGTGGCCACTTCAAGTCGACCTCATTCCGGCTGGGATTGCAAACACTCGAGGGCAGCTGTCACCTCAAGTTCATCGCACGGCCTTTCACCCGGCTAAGTAATCCAAGGAGCACGATATGGCTGTGCTGAGAGGGAAGTATCTTTTCAGGGCGAGCGTCTGACACAGTTAGCAATCTTATGCGGGGCACTATCAGCGGCTGATTCTTCTGGTGTGGACCAGTAAAGACACCACAGAGACCATAGACCACAGAGCACAGAACACAGAACACTATCGGCACGAACAAAGACCGCGACAATTAGTGGAGCGATCAATGGTCGCCGGGGCCTCTGCTCCGGGGTCCTCTCTTGCGGCGGAAGTAGAGCATGGGATGGGATGGCTCGTAATCAATTAACATGTTCGAATCATGGAAAATAAGTGCAAGCAGCGCAATTATTTCTAAATAAAAATCGAGAGTAGGAGAATAATCAACGAGCAAAGTCGTGATTCGTGTGTTCGCATAGCGCTATTTGTGTGTACAGTGTATAGTGTACAGTGTACACTTATTGGGTTATCTGCACGTGGCTGCGTCAGTCACTTCCCCGTCGACAGATGTCATTGTCTCATGACGCAGCCTCCCAGTTTCCACATCCCATCCCATCCCATCTCTGATTCCAATCCAACTCAACCCCGAATCGAGCTGTGATGCTAAGCAAACTGATTCGATCCATTTTGACCCCGACATTGGCGCCAAAATGATGTAGCTGTTGATGTTGCTGTTGCTGTTTTTGTTTTCGTTTTCGTCCGCTGATCTGATAAGCAAATCAAGGAAACAAACAAACTGCAACTGCAGTCTAAAATTGGCTTAATCTGTTGTCAATATTTACACACCGATTATCGATACGTGTTGAGGGTAAATTTCCACAGCTCAAGTCTTGAGGCAGTCAACCCTCCACTCTCCACTCTTCAATCTCCATTCTCCATTCTGGGTGTGGATTTCCCAATCCACTGTCTGCAGTGAGCAGTCCACACGCAGGCGCACTCGACCATGCCGAAGAATGAGAAACCCAAGTGGCTAAGAATTCCTCAAGCCAATGTTGAGAAAACCCCATTTATTTGGCAATGAGTGGGGCCATTGTGAATGCAGAAAACATGTTTTGCCGCCTGGCTAATGGGAATTTAAGATTTCTAATAAGCAAGCTCCTAATTAACCGAAATATGTATCGAAACATGCCAGTCTCTCTGACTCTGACTCTGATTCAGATTCGATTTCGATTTCGAGTTCGAGTTCAAATTTGAATTGATTAATTGCCAAGGCAGGGCAATTAGTGGTGGAGTGGGGGAAATTGGGTCATTGGCATCTTGCAGTTCTAATGCTTCCAACCCGCGTCACGGCCCATTGATACACATGAATATGGATGGATGGATGGATGGATGGTTGGATGGATGAATTGAGATACAGATGTAGATGTCGTCTGTTTCAGCTGGGCATTTTCAACTTCTGACTGCTCGACAGCTGTGGGTTCTGCCATTAACACTTGGCCTGCGGCTTGTTTTGTTTGTTTTTTGCCGGCAACCGGTTGTAAGGTAAAACGCAGCAAAAGCCACGCGCAGAGCGGGCCCAAAGGAGAAGCCTTGGGCAAATGCCAAAAAATTCGATCGCTGACTCACTTTCTGGCGAAAGGCGTGTCGAATCGAGTCGTCATATTGGATTGAGTCGGATCGGATCGGATCGAAGATAAAGCCAAGCTCACCGGCCGATTTGCATGCGAAATTGTTGGCCATAATTAATGTGCGGATAATGATGGCAAGCGCGGTTAAAATGTATCTGCATTTGCATAAGCAGCAGGTGCAAATAGATACTTTCCTATCTGACAGATACTCTACACTAGCTATATACTGTTGATGTGTAAATGTCATTGATAAATTAATATTAATATTTTCTAATATAGCTCGAATCAGAAAGGGAATGTATTTATAGCCAATCAACCTAGAAGCTAAACAAACAGAAATCATATGGTTTTTACTTGATCATATCTATTTAAATTAATATAGTTTTTATTTTTATTTTTTTGATAGATTTCCAAAAGAAACGAGGTCAAGAAACTCTACTGACAAACACAAATTTGGGTTTCACGACCAAACAGAAGGTATTTTCGAAATGAATTAATAACATAAGATCACGATCTCAGCTCAGTACCCGGATTTATATTGTTGTGCTTGGGAGCAACAACATAGGCTTAGTTAGTATCGATCTAACGTAAGCTGATTTCGTTCTTTGTTCAAGTTCAGGGGGGAAAACAAGGCAACAAAGACGGCTGCAAATTGCGTCTCGAAAGTCGTTCGATGCCGCTGCCGCTGCCTTTTTCCCGGTATCGATGCCGGGGGCTTTAGACCATTCCCATGCCCATTCCCATTCCCATGCCCATGCCCACGTCCATGCCCACATCCATGCCCTGCCTGCCTGCCTGCCTGTCGTTTGGGCCACCATTTAAGTGGGAACATGGATAATTTTTCAAGCCGCCCCGCTCGCAGTTTTGCCGCATGTCGCTGCGTTGCGTTTCGTCGTTTGGTTCGTGGTCGTCTGTTTTTGGCCAAAACCCGTTTTGAGCCAAGTTAAGAGAAGAGATGGGGGGAGAACTCTCCAGGTTCTGGGAGTTGGCTTACCTATCTATATGTTATGTTGTCGATTTTGGTGTCGCGTTGTCGATGTTGTCGATGTTGTCGGTGTTGCTGGCGTTGATGATGCGGCACTGTTGCAGTTGCTTGTTATTGGCTATATTATTGGCAACTTCTGCTCTGTATTTTTGGCGCGCTGCAAAGAATTTGATGTGTGTCTGGTGTGAGAAAGCGAAAGCAATCGAACGCGTACGCCGACACAGTAAAAGCGAAAGTTAAAAGTCAACGGCAAAGGCAAAGGCAACGGCAACAGCAACGGCAACGAGGAAGCGGGATCGGCGTGAAGCGAAACAACACGCTTAAAAATACTTCTAGCATATATGTATCAGTATCTGATTATACATATGTTTATATAGTCAAACAGAATGGAATGGAACTGAACTGAACTGAACGGAGCACAGAGCAGCATGTATATATGCGGAGCATATAAAAAATGCGCGCGACTATGTCGTTCCTGCGCCGATGTTGCTCTTTATATTGCTGTAGCTATTGCTATTGCTGTTGCTGTTGCTGTTGCTTTCTTCGCGTTTCGGGAATTCGTTCCGATTCGGTTCGAGTTGTGCTATTTGCTTTACTTTTCTCTGTTTTTCTGTCATTCGTTTTCGAAACACTCAGTTGCGGTTTCCGCTGCGGACGCCTGATCGCCTCATGAATCGATGCGAGCGACGCGACGGACTAAAGATAACTAAGGGAAATCAGAATGTGTTGGCAGTATAAGCCGCGCAGCAGAAAGCAGCACGGCAGCAGCAGCAGCAGCAGCAACAGCAACACCAACAGCAACACTTTGAGCTGGTATGCGTGAGTATCTGTGTCTCGCCCTGCGAGAGTGTGTAACTTGTTGTTCGGATTTCTGGTTACACGGACTGCGTTCTGAATGGAATCGCCTGGATCTGATCCGAACTAATACGATCTGATCGCCCTAGGAAACCAAAAACTCCCGGAGCAGCCATTGTAAGAGCGAAAAACGCAATGAGAGTTGCCGGCATCTTAGGTATTTCATGGCTCTCCTCAGCCAAAATGGCTCGAGAACACTCCGTCGTATACGCAATGCTCAACGGCAACCATAGTTGCTGTTGGTATTGCTGTTGCTGTTGTTGTTGCTGTTGTTGTTGCTGTTGACTTTGCCTCCGTTTCTGATTCGACTCGAGTGTTTTTGGGAGTGTTTGCCGCGGCGGTTCTCTTTCTTTTTTTTTTTTTTGGGACTTTTTCCAGAGCAAAAGAAACTACACAAATATGGTTTTGTAGTGTTCTCGAACAATATCAAGAGTTGGATAACCCGTGTGTGAGTGTTTGCCCTCGTGCTGTGCGTGTGTGGGCCTCTGGCTTTTTCCACTACCAAAGAGATAAACTGAAAAATGTGAATGGAACTCATTCACAGGGTTAGGAAGTCTGGAGTTTATGTTTGCTCATCAGCAGGTTACCGGCTTTCTGCTTACTAATGGCCCAAAAGGGGGGAATCGGACTTTTTGAAACTGTTTCCAGAAATTATGAAACCATAGCACTGGTAAGGTAGATAAACCGGGACAAGGGTAATTAGTAGGCGAAAATGGAAAGTCTGGCGCTGGCTTGAATTCATTAGAAGGGCCATGAACTGTAAGTACGCGAAAAGTGTCAATTGATTAAAGCAAAAGGAATCGCAATCCGTCTTGGGTTTTACGTTTTTATCAGTCTGGCGCTTGTCCGGTTGTGGTCGTTCTATCTTCCGGGGAACTCTCGCACTTTGGTCCCTTCGAAAACTTTGGAAACTTTATTAATGAATTATTTTAAGTACATTTTGGTGTCGATATCGTTTCAGGTCAATTCCGCTTTCTAGTATCTCTATCACATCGACCAATCAACGCTCGCCGACTTTGAGTTTTGATTGATAAGCCGCTGCTCTGGGTCCCTAAAAAACCCCTTACTGCTGTGATAAGCCCCCAAATTTATATGGCCATGGGTGGCACGTCATAAAAATATATTAAATTAGAGATATTAAATTCATTTTCAGCATTGGGTGCCAACATCTTACCTAACTTGACCGGATTTAGTGTATAATCTAATCGCATTAATACGGCTGACATAAATATGTACTTCGGTCTTGGCTAGGTGCAATAAAAACATACGTGCAAGGTATTTAAAGCGAGGCTCTTATGTAAGAGTCTCCTAGAGATTTCCGACTTCATTCAGAGCCAGATTCATTATCAATTTTCGCAGCATCTGTGACGTTTCGTTCTTTTCTATCAGTTTCTTATCAATGCAATGCCATTTTGCTAAGGAATTTCGGTCGTGTGAGCATTGATCAGCAGAAAATGCGTAATTAATGTATGTTTATAAAATAAAACGCAATTCAAGTTGCCTCCGAAATGAATGAACTAAAGATAACTAACGGATGACTCATTTATTCATAATTTGGATATCACAATACGTACCAAACCCAAAAAAGATTGACGCATCTTTTTTTTTTTGGCTTTCGTTCAACTTTTGGGATTTACTTAATACATAATCTTAAAACAGGATATTTTAAAGCCGAGATGATATCTTTAAAATATTTTAAAAACCAGTTACGTTGTTTGAAAAAATAAACCAGGGCTATGGATTAAGTAGGTTTGAGTCTGCGGTGGCGCAACACTTTTGGCAACCGTGAGAAATGGTCACACTGTTTTTTAGCCGTTTTGTTGGCGCTGCCAGATCAGCGATTCGACAACCTTGCGAGCGATAGTATCAAATAAACATAGACTTTTTTACCAGCTCTAGCTTAGGCTTATAGTATATTTCTTACTTTTTTGTATATTTCAGAGCAGAAATTTCAAATTTACCCACGACAACACTTTTAATATGCGGAAAATGTGGCGGAACGGGAATTTTTGCGATAAAACTGATTTCATTTTACCATTTTGCAGTTCGTCGGAAATGTGGGTGTTTTTGCCAGATAGAAGCGGGACTTTCACTAAATATTTTTGATTTCAGAAATTAAACTTAAATTTGTCTAGCATATCTACCCAAAAAATAATGCTATATCTCATCTTCGTGGGACTCGCTATTCTAGATTTTAGCTTGGATCATGCCAGCGCCGGCCCTGCTTACCTTGTGTGTGATCAAGGCGTCCAACTATAAAAACATGACTTTTCCCTTTCCTTTCTAGCACATCTATTTCTTAATGAAAATAGCGCGGTTTAAAATTTTGGTCACTGTTCAAATATTCTATTCTCATTACAAAGCAATCCCTCTCTTCAAAATGAGGAAAAATTAAATTAACACAACGAAACTATTATATAAACCTTAAAATATATAACAAATTCAAAAATAGTTCAGTTGCTTGAAATTCCAGTAGAAACAACAAGAGGTTATTCCCTTTAGTGCTAACATTCAACGTTGAATTTTAATAAATTCAGTAATTTAGTTTTTACGGAATACCCCAAGTTTTTTAATGGTATATTTAAAAAATTAAGTTCGTTAGAGATGAAAGGCCACCGATGATGCCCTGCCAGACATCGATACGACCGATATTCTAAAAACATCGATAACATCGATATTGGCACCGACGTTTCCCCACCTTTAGGGATTCTTTTTATTTCCGCCGTTTGCCGAGAAAGTTGGAAAATCATGGGTGAGTTGCTGAAAAGCGTAGTTTTTGTGCGAAATAAGCGAAAAGAGCTGCGAAACAGTGAACAAGCGGAGCTTAGAGTGCGGCGCGGCTGAAAGAGTAAGTGAATTAAAGCTGAAAATGTGGAATACTCGCGAATTCAAAACTTGCTATATTCGCAGTGCGAAATCTAGCCGAATCAAAAGAATCGCATGATGTATCTGGCTAATATCTTGTTGTATACGGACCAGCAAGCCGTGGTCACGAATTGCAAACATTATTTGTGCACAAAATGCACTTGCCCGTATCGCCAGACTCGGACTCAATCTAACCTCAAAACCGAAGCCGCATAAGCCCATTTGTTTACATTGTGTTGTTGCATTTTTCTGTACCTCAATTACCTGTAACTAATGTTTTATTTCCACCCATTGCAGGCAAGCCAAGAGGTCTGCGCACTGCCAGGAAGCATGTGAACCACCGTCGCGACCAGCGTTGGGCCGACAAGGACTACAAGAAGGCTCATTTGGGAACCAGATGGAAGGCCAATCCCTTCGGAGGTGCTTCCCACGCCAAGGGAATCGTCCTTGAGAAGGTGTAAGTACAGTTGTCCTCCGCAAAAGTGTTTGCCATCCCGGAGAGATCCCACGTCTCGACGCCTCGCAGTATATTTTTGTGTTTTGTTTGTTTTGCAACTCAAATCACAGGATTATACTGTGAGATGACAAGCGTGCCAGCAGCCAAGAGTGAATGGAACTGGTTTGAGCAACATCCACCTGCTGTGGCATCCAAAACTAATCAAATGTTCACCCCTCTTTCCACAGCGGCGTCGAGGCCAAACAGCCCAACTCTGCCATCCGCAAGTGCGTGAGGGTTCAGCTGATCAAGAACGGCAAGAAGATCACCGCCTTCGTACCCCGTGACGGTAGCTTGAACTACATTGAGGAGAACGACGAGGTCCTGGTCGCCGGTTTCGGTCGTAAGGGTCATGCCGTCGGTGATATTCCCGGTGTCCGCTTCAAGGTCGTCAAGGTGGCCAACGTCTCCCTCCTGGCCCTCTACAAGGAGAAGAAGGAACGCCCAAGATCTTAGATGAGCACACATCTAATCTTTTTCCAGACAAGCAGAGTTAGGGTTTTACAAAACTAAATAAACAAAAAATGAAACAAAGCTGTTTATGTTTCAATTAAATGTGATTTCGTTGACTATGCGTTTTGGCTTGCATGTTTTTTTTGGTTTACGAAAGAGAAAAGAGATTCATGTTCTACCAAATTTAGCAAGAGAAACCCAGGAACATAAATTGAACTGGGGCTAGTAGTAAAAAAAAACGTACCATATAAATTGTATATTTTTAAACAATACTATTATGAACTTATTACGATAAACCACAAGATAAAATTGTCGTTTTAATCTTCCTCTTTTAAAAGTTAGTTTTAGCTATATATAAATCCTAACCTTATTTGCTATTGTTTGCTGTTCAAAATCATGAATATGTACCAATCAATCAATTTGGAATAACACTTTTAAATACATCATATTGAAAAAAATAAGTCGAAACGTTGGTAAACCTTAATAGGTATTTGAATACAGTATTTTAATTTGCCATTAAAAATTTTAATTTAATAATTTGCCCATTTTAAATAAATTTTTAACATAGCTGTTTTTCAAACTAGCTGGCAACCACGACAGTGTTGCAAAACGTGCGCAGGCCAATGCCTTGCAGCACTACCAGCCGCGACAATTCAAATTCAAACTCTCAAGTAGCTGAAATCAAGAAACAAATCCCTTCGCCTAAGAATATATTTTGTGTGAAGTTTTCATCCAGAAAAACATATGTTCTAGTTATAACTTAATTATCAGCAGCCAAATTGTGCAATGCCAGAGCACTCCCTCGTTGCGAGCCCGGTGATCTCCAGGTTGTTTACCTACCGCAGAGGCTGCTGGCAGAGTATGGCTTACATAACAGAACGGCAAGAGCCGCGGAAACAGACAGCCATCAATGCATGAGGCCCGGACCTGGACCAAAGCAACGTGTGCCGGGCTTCATCAGCGATAAGGAGTCGCAAACTGCACCTCCTACCTGGCGGTGCACTGGGAGAAATCGTAGCATTTCGATTGCTGGGCCAAAAAACGAGTTTGATTTGCGGCTAGGTGGGCCAGATTTCTCACAGTGCCGCTCTGTCCGATCTGCTTATCAATAATTTGTTTTTGTTCTCCTTTTTGCCGCATTTAGGCAGAGATGCGCTGGCGATAGCCGCTCAAGTGTCACACGCCCACATTTTTGGAGCAGTCGATGGAGCGGCTATTTGCACATACGCCACGCCAATAAACTTGTACCCACCACCGAGGCACGCTTTGATCCGATCCTCGTTCGCAATCTTTATCCCCAGCCCCAGCCTCAGCCCCGTTCTCGGTCTTTAGTCTTTAGTCTTTGGTCTTTAGAGTTTAGTCTTCAGTCTTTAGTCTCCTCGAAGGCGGTCGCCGGTCGGCAATCGGCACACGCTTGCGCAGTGATTCTCCCCTCTTTTGGACTTTTCTTTCTTTTGGTCTGACCGATGATACGATGCTCCGATGCTCGGAACCTTTTGCCTGACTCGGCCCCTCCGCACATAAATCCAGCGCCACGACCACGAAGACTTGGTCCTCACTTCGCCGGCGGCAATTATCGCGATGTGATAAACAAATATTTTGCATCTATGGCAAGAAGAAGCGAAGGTTTTCCCGGCATTCTGGCGCTTAATTATGAACTCCGGTTTGGCTTTACTTGGCCTGGCCTAACTTGGGCCCCCCAACCAAGTACGAGTTTATTAAATGCCCTGCGCGTGGCCGCATGCACTTTTACCTGCCAACGTACTTGACTCGTCTTCGTCTTCGTCTTCTGGGAGGTTCGTCGCTTTTTTACCAATTTTTGGGCTTGGCTTATGCGGTTCGCTGGCAGCAGTGGTTGCAATATGCAATTTGGCTGCTTATCTCTAGCTGGATACCAATCAGCTTGGCCCCAACTCCGGTGGGTGGAGAGTGAAATAAAAATTAAATATGGCTCTATTTGAATATTGCCCAGTTTGCAGGCAGTGCATATTATTGGGTTTACAGGGCGTATGCTTAATGGAAACTAAAGGAAAATAAATTCTAATAAAAAACAAGTAACTGATTAAAGAAATCATTGTTTCTTTCTATTTGACGCATATAATTTAAAATAAGAATTTAAAGGTAACTCATTCGATCAACACTGGTATGTTTCTTTTGCATCAGATTTGTAGGTTCTTATACTTTTTGAATATTTGGCCTTCTATTCTTATTTTAGGTGCTTACAATATGATATGTCCCTTGTCTAATTTGATAGAGGCTAATAAAGTAAGTTGTAACTATTTTGTTATTTTGGGCTCATCATAATTTGAAAGCCACTCTAAAATCGGCCTTCTGTATTCTTCTGCTCTCTTCAGCCATACATCACCTTTGATTAATGACCTTTCTTGCTTTCCATTTGCTAATATTGCCTATTTAAATATTTCCAAATCTTTCGCGAATCTCTCTTAAAGACTATGCCCCATTTGATCCATATAACACCCTTTCCCAGAGGTGCCGCACATTACGATATTTGCATACGCTGGCTTCCGTGTATGGGTGAGATGCCCGCTTCGAGTATTTGTGGCCAGCAAACACAGACACACACGTGCATATATGTATATATAGACCCCAGCGACATTGGGGCCTCCACCAATTGAAACAAACCAAATGCAAAGTCGTCTCTCCCACAACAAATGGATCGGGGAACAGGTTTTCCATTTCTGAAAGTGAGACTGAGACTCTTTTTACTGAGATCTACAGAGAACAAACGAACGAATGAACGAACGAACGAACGAACGAATATTAAATAAGGTTTGTTTCATTAGATTCAAAAGAACTTGCCGCTGCTCTGGGTTCGGAGGCTACGAGGTCTGGGCCCATAGCGATCGGAGGTAAAGGTATGGGATGGTGTGGTATGGTACGGTATGGGAGCCAGAGTCAGAGTCAGAGCCAAGTCACCTGGGCCACTTGCTCGTTCCGCTTTGTTGAGCAGCTGCCGCTCTCTGGTCGCTCTGGCCCAAGACTGCGCGAAAGGTTTCGCCCGTGCGCTTTCAGCTTTTCGCTTTTTGGCCTTATGCATCGGATTCGAGGCAGAGACACCTCAGTTTCCACTGTTCAGTGTTCAGCGTTTCAGTTCACAATCTCCGAGCTCGAGAGAGCGTCGATCGGTCGCAGAGTTCAGTTCAGTTGGCCTGCGGTTCGTCATCAGCGTGGTTCATGCGGCTCCGACTTCGACTTCGACTTCGATTCCGACTTCCACTCAGACTCAGACTCTGAATCGGGCCTTAACTTTAACTCTCCATTGACATCGCCATCTGTGTCCCCGGCTGTAATCATAAATATATCTACATACAGACTGGCCCGCTGTACATAGGCCCAGTTAGTTAGTGGTTGCTGTTGTGCCGTGTATTTTCATTTTCCCAAGAGTGTTGTTGCTGTCACAGCGTTCGCTGTTTGTGTCTTGTGAAATGTCGAAGCCCTTGATTTTGGGCAACCGATACGATCATTAGTCGACAACCACCTGAAAAAGCTTCTGTTGCTAGCTAGAAACATACAGAAAAGTGCTTTTTAAGAACCCAATTCCATCTGGATAATATTTACTTAAAGTTAGTATCGGAAAAATTAGGTACAAAAAGTGAACATTTAAAAGCTACAATCAACCGGGTTTTAAGTATCGGTAAAAACCAAGTGCCAATCGAATCGGTTTTTGAAAGTGCCCATTTTGCAGTGTTACAAACGAATCGTTTTTGAATATACCCAGTGCCCAGTGGAGAGTGAGAATAATATATATGCCCAACATCATTAGGCGATTGCGAAATCGTGGCCAAAATGTGGGTTAGGGTCTGAGCCAGAAACAAAACAAAATCTGACAACAAATGGACGCAAATTCACACATGCCGCGCACATAAATTTATGGTTGGAACTGTAACTGGGCAAAATGATCGGCCCGGCAACCAGCAGTAGTAGCAGCACCACCACCAACAGCATTGGCGGCACCACCGAACCACCCACCAACCCGCCGACAAAGGGAAAAAACTAACGGAATAATGCAACATTAAGCAAAATGCTGCTGGCCCTGCTAAAGCAAAGCCCCGACCAACAACAACAATTTCAACCTGCCACCACCGACGTCAACAGCAACAACAGCAGCAACAGCAACATCAGCAGCAGCAGCAACAGCAACAACAACTGCAACTACAACAACATCAACGTCACCGTCACCGTTACCACGAACGTCGCCGTTGCCGTATAAAATGGAACCCTCATATGATCACGAACATCCACATCATCTGCTAACAAATTACAAGTAATATTTACATTTTTCCCATGCTAAAATTTTTTTCTCGCTGTTTAATTATATCCAACCGAAGCGAAGATACATATCTTCAAGATAATAACCATAATGAAAAATGGAAAAGGCGCTTGTGTAGTGGTGAAGAAATTCTCTAGATCGTAGGCATATATATGTATATATATTTGTAAATATATATATATATGTATGAATATATGTATAATCGTGTACATGGGCCCATGACTGGGACTTTTTAAGAGTTAGTCAGAGACAGATACAGATACTAAGATACTGGCGGCGGGCACGACAGCGAGAAACACCGTCGGGGATGTCGAATGCGAATGCGAATGCACACTGGCGGAGCTGCGATACCTACGAGTATCATAAAAACGGGTATATAGGGGCTATAGTATATAGTACCTGGGAATTTGCTTAGATTTTCCTTGGTGTGGCCCCAGTTTTCAGACCCCGCAGCACTTGCACTTGTATTCGTATCCGCTTCTCGCTTCACTGTGTGAGTTCCATTTGACTTTCCCCTCTCCCCTCTCCGAATATGTAAATGGTCGGCCGCGAATAACTTAAGAACCGTCTTCTTCGTCGGACGCGGCTCGAAATTGGTCAAGTGGAAAGTAAACCAAGACTCCGGCTCCGTCTGAAACGGGGGTGGAGACCCTGGGAAAAACCGGAGGGCAAGAACGCGTAGACGACCCGAAAGAGGTTTTAATTTCTGTCTATTTCGGCCAGAGGTCATGCGGACTTGACCATTAAGAAGATTTAGGTCCGATCTACACAGCTTGATAGATACGCATGA